TTCATTCTTAATGGCTTTTAATTACAAGCATGTCCTGGATGGTTGTTAACATGTTTTTTTCACCATGTGCAAATGATACATAGTAAACAGAGTTAGAACAAGTTCAGAAATTATTTTTACAACATATTCAAAGTACAAAATAACCCACAAGGAACTTTTTTTTCCACTATAGGATTATCTTAAAACACATCAAAACTCCAGTTTATCCTCCAGAGAAAGAATAAGTCCAGTTTTGTTAATGGTTCTCACAAAGTGCATTCTTAACAGTGAGGTTTGTAAGGGAGTATAAGTCCTCTTGTTTTCTGTTTTTCTCTACAGCTGATTCAAATGTTACGTTCCTGTGAGGCACTGTAGAGGTATTGGTATTCAGGTTGAAAATAGCATATGAATTTTTTTATCATTCTTATATAATCTTTAAAATTTTAACGTCAACGGTCCTCAATATTATGTAGTTTACTTAATTCTTGTCCACTAGATGGAGTTGTTGGGTTGCTGAAAGATGAGTCCACAAGGCAGCTTACACTCAAGTTTCATTGTTCTCAGAACAGGTGTAAACTGATGCTTACAACCTTAAATGTAGACATTAATCTATGAGTTTAAGTTGACATCCCTTAAAACCCTAAGTACTTCAGCTTTGAAATAAAGGTTTCTTCCCACAATACTGGAATTGAAGTTTAGTTTCTTCTCTCGGTTGCTCATCAAAACACAACATTTCATGCACAATTCACTTGGTGGGTTAGAGGAAAGCAGAACAATGAAGAATTGTAAGAAACGGAATCGTATTCAAAAAGCCTGTTTGCAAACAATAATCACCTTGATAACCATTCAACTGTCTGCTGATGAAAAAGAGGATTTGCGATAGGTTTTTATTATTATGCTAACACAAAAACATTGCAAGAAATTTAAAATAAAATTAAGATGAAAAATATATATCTTATTCCACAGGAATAAGGCAGTGATGGAGTCCATCAATGAAACCTTACAAATAGAAGTTCAAGGGTAACGTCAGTGTTGTTCAACCTTGACCTTTTTTTCAAAATTTTGTGTCAAAGGGACTGATGGGGACAAGAACCTTTGAATTTGGTGGGAAATTGCTCACCATTAAAATACAGCCATTAAAAGTGCTTGCCTTTGCTACTGATAGGCCCAGTTGTTACGAGTGTGCTGATCTGCTGTGTGTCTAACCAAGTCTCGCTCTAGGAGAAGTCTTTCTGATATCTCAAGAGCCGTGAGTTGACTCATTGCAGGAAGACAACAGTAGTAACAGGAGCGTTGCAAATATCGGCCAGGAAGTTTGTTGTGTTGGAGCTTAGAGTTATATGAAAGATTTTGGCTGAATATTTAGCTGATTTGGATGAGGCCTTTGAATTTGATGGCCACCCATATTCATTAAAGCCGGAGTATACGGATAAGACTACAAATTGAAGAGCACACGAGGCGCAGACAAAGTGGATCAAGCAAAAAGTACAGAAAGTGTTTGATTAATTTGTCGGGTCATGTGGTGAGACACTAATAGTAACAATGTGAGCCTGTCACTGGCAGAAACAAGCACTTTTAATGGATGTATTCTGATGGTGAGCAATTGCCCGTAATAATAACGTTGTAGCCCATTTTGCGGCTGCAGGCTGCAGCGCTCTCACTCAATACTGGACCAAATTCAAACCTCTCCCCATTAGTCACTTTGACACAAAAATATGGGAAAATAATGTCCAGGTTGAAAAAATACAAAAGTTACCCTTGGTTAGCCCTGGAGCCTTTGACAGTGGATTACAAGGCTCTCCACACTCACTGTTTGAGATTAATTCAGTCCTTTGTGCACCCTCACAAATATAACTGCTGAAAGTACAACAGATTTCTCAAAATGCACTGTGATTCTCCCACACTGAAGGGAAGTCTTATTTTATCTGTACAATTTTACAGCTATGAGTCACTTTGCCGTGCACTCAGCACAAAGCCAGAAGATGAGATCTTTAGTAGGTATGCCAGTCCTCCAAGTGGTTCAGCATGTTTAGAGTCTGGAGCAACTCTGGGTGGAGAGGATTTACTGTCTCACTTTCGTGGATACCGTAGATGAAAACGCTGAAGACAGATTAGCTGTCTCTGAAGTGTATGTAGCCATGTCACCTGCAAATAAACACAAAAAACATAGCAGACAGTGCTTAGACACCACATGCTGCGCTGTGTTGTAAGCAGATCTGCGCAATTTGGGTGGGAGCTGTAAGCGTTGCTAACCTGATCTCCGGGTTTCGGTGACGTAGGACCTGAGACAGCAGCTCAGACGTTTGTTGAAAGCAGCGACTCAGTTCGTCCAGCTTCTGCTCCATGGAGAGGATACGCTGCTCCAGCTCCCGATAGGAGTTATTCCAATTGGCACTGAGGTCACACATGATCATCTGCATCTAAATGAAAATGAAATGCAAATGGAGAAAAAAAAGTGTGAGTATTTACGAGGGGAAAACACTGGGGTCAAACTACAGCCTTAAACCTGACCATATTGCTGGAATCTGTGCAGACACATTTTAAATATATGTTGCAGATTTTATAGTGAAGCTCTGGAGATGCAATGTCTTTTACCGACTTATTGACACACTGTTATATTGGGCCTGTGTGACAGTTTTTAAGCCAACTCACTGGGCAAGAGTCAAGTAAAGCAGCATGTTCAGCTTACAGACTGCAAAGTGACCATGACATGGTTTTCTTTTGTCATCTTACCAAGGGGCAACACTTGCAGTCTGGAAAAACTAGGCTTGTTTTCCATATAAATCAATAGAGAGAATAAAAAGGCACAAATTACACATTAGTGCGTCTCACTGGGTAATGTCTTTATACCTTGGGTTTATTCCACATGGAAAACCTATGTGGGCCTATGAATTCCTGACACAAATGAATCCTGAGACATTTTATGGAGATTTTTTAACAAGCATTTAATGTGTCTGAACACCTAGCGATAAACAGCAGCCTGTAAAATACTGCATAATAGTCTATGTAAGTAGTGAGTGTTTTTAAGAGGAACTTTGTCATCTTATATGGCGTTGGCCTTTCCAGTAGAACATGTACAAAATATTCCAGTGACAGCTGTCGTTTACCTTTGGAAGGTCCACCATCTCGCTGACGTAATCTCTCAGTTTTCTTTGTTTGAGGCGTAAATGCCGAAATCTGCACAGAAAACAACAAAGGTTTGGTAGATCTCAGTCATGTGGATGTATTTCAAACATAAGCGTATTTTAATTACCTTTAATGTTGCACTGAGACAGAAAGGGAAACAGTTCAAAGTCCATTGATTTTATTTAAATAAAGTAATATAATGTTACTATGTGTAGAATTCAAGGTTTAAACGCTCCAATAAGAGTTTTGAAGTGCCTATCTACGGACAGAGCGTCCTATTTTTGGACAAACAGAACAGTTCTGGCACAAGACAAAACCCCCTGATTCGTGGAGGAATATGCTGACAATGGAGTATTCCACTACTCAACATGCAGGAATCCTGCTGTGTTTGTTAAATACCTATAAAACATTGCTCGAAGGTTTTGACATATAAAGGTGGAAAAGGCCAACATTTAGTGAAAACCCATATGGAAACCAATATTGCAATCATGCAACTCTGAAGAGTGATGGTCTCATTACTTTATACTGTTCCTAATCCCAAGGTGTGGAGGTCCCTCCTGCTCGTACTTTCCACAGAATATTTATTTTTAGTGGCTCTGCCTGGTGTAAAGCAGGAAGTACAACCCTTCCACCCAGGCTACAAACACTCACACACATAACCCTGTTGTCAGGATAATGAACCATACAATCACACTTCTGGACTTCCTGTCTTGTGCAGTCCAGTCAATAACAAGAAGACGCAACTCAAATGGTACTGGTTTCCACCTTCTTTTTCTTGATAAGTGTCTTAGAATAAGATGTACAATATGTTGTGTGTTACTGTCAAATTATACTGTTAAAAAAAAAAGGGAAAAGGTCATTTGCCAGCATGTCTCAGAACCTTGCCTTGAATTCTGTGTAATAAAGGGGTGGACCCTTGTTCACGCATGCCCTGCCCACATAAAAAATGCAAACAAGTCTAATTAGTAATCTAAATTAGCCATTAAAAACTGTGACTCTGTGGTTGAGCATGTTGACACGAAGTTAATGACCCATAAAATACACATGTAATGCACACAAACCACCACCCACTTACATCCCTGACCCAGACACACACACATCCTGCCTGAAGGTATAATTTTGCTGTTCAGTAACTCACACTCTGATGGCTTCCAGAAGGCATCTCTGGTGTCTCCGGTGCTCACCACGGTTGCCCTTTGTCAAGTTTGTGCGGTGCAGAAGCCAGCATTCCCTTAGCACATTAGCAGCGGCGTGGCGGATCTGGTGAAAGAACAGAAACGTCAAAACTGACTGATCAAACATGGAGGTTCCAGGAGCAGAAACATGGACCATAAGACCATCAAGATAAAGTCAATCAAACATGCAAGCCGGACTGACAAAAACACATAGCGCTTATCAAATTGTTTATGTCAATCATTTTGGTACAGCAAGTAAAAACTTTCATTTAAACCAGCTGATTGAAACCAGATAGTGTTTCCTGTTCAACTATTTTTCAGATTAGAGATTTCAAATAAAACACAACTTATTTCCACAGAGATGCTCGTATACAAGAATTGACATACAGCCTATAACTGATGTTTAGACATCACCTTTTTGCACTTTTCTCTTTGATTCTATTCACGTCTGTTTGTCTTCCTGCACAAATCACTGTAACTGCCCCGTGATGATGTCACTCAGGCCCTGTTGTGAGGGTTATTAATAGATGCTGTCAGTGTTTGCATCCAGATGTCTTCCCTTGTTCCCATCAGTGTAAATCTGGACTGCACCAGATAGCTCGGAAGAATGCAAGCACAAAAACAGACACACACACACGCACCAGAACAACCACAAGCAAGGCATAAAGATGCACCTAGTGACAGGATGCAGCCACCGGGAGAAAGGAAATGGTTGTATCCTCCAAAGCGGTGCACCTACTGCAGTCAGGCACTGCTTCAGAGTGCATACAGAGAACAAACTGAAACTAAGATTGTAGGAGCTATGTCAGTCATATTACATATTTGACCTTGTTTTTGTTTTTTGCTGTATGTTTGCCTATTTCTATGTATATACATTGAGAGCAGCGTAAAACCGGAGTCAGATTTCTTGTATGTATGGCCTACAGATATACGTATCTGGCCAATAACACGTATGTACATTCCTAAGGCACTTTATTGGCTTTACGACAACGTTCCTAGTGAGCTTTTATTCATCAAGCACGTTTTCCCATCAATAAGCAAACACTTGAATCCTATCCAAGTCTACAAACAGAGTAAGCCCTCTGCAAGCCACTTCCACACACACTCACAAACACACACGTAAGCTCAACCAGTTTCCTGCCGGTCGCTGCACCGTCCTGAACTGACACAAGTTTCTTTCCTGACAGAAATCAGATGATTTCCTCTGTTTGATGCCTTGAAAATGCTATAAAGAGGTAGGCAGACCTCATCTCCCTCCTCTTTTCCCACACTATCCCATCCTCTGGTGTCTCTTATTTAAGGAAAAAAAGAATTAAAATTAGACTCAAAAACCAAAATATGCATGCGACACAGAAAATAGTGACGCTTCCATCCTGACGGCTCCGTCCGCTTTATCATCTCTCTTATTTGTCTTGCTACACTGGAGTAACTTTTGATGAAAGGTTTACTGTTTACTGTAAACAAGGAAGTTTATTTCATTATTAGATACATATTATCACAAACATACAAAAATAAGAGCCCATTAGAGAAACCTCAAATGTAAAAATAGCACTTATATTGCCCATTTGTTACAACTGCTATATTGGACATTTAAATGTAGATGTATGTCTTTGTCAAGGTTGGTACAGGAGGGCCTTTGATGTGACATTTTGTCACATGACACCACTTCTACGGTGACTTTCAAAGTTAAGCGTCAATGATCTGACCTATATTGAGCTGTTCACGTGTAAAGACTCTATTTCCTTTAAATCCTCTGCAGGAAAGTGTTGCTTTATGGTGTTTTTCTTTTAAACAACCAGAATTTTACACGTTTTGGCCCATTCCATATAAATAACATATTTTACATAACTGATGAGCATTTTCCAAGCATACCAAAGTGTTTTATTTTTTTTATTGAGTTATGTTATTGTTGTCTGGCAATGCCGTGCAGACTTTTCAAATCATTCTGCACTTACAGCTGCAGTACCACACAATGTTCCAGTGACTTTGACAACAATAAACACAGACTTGGTCTTCATTGTGATGGATTACCAAACTTGAACAGGTTTCAAGTTCCTGCAAGCCGATTTTCATACAGAAATTAGAGGGAAGGTACATTAAAAGAAAACTAAAACATTGCAGCGCATTTTGAAACAGAGTTAGCAGTAACATAAAGTACCCATGATTTGTAGTAAATGGGCCAAAACATGCAAAAGTATATGATCTTTGAAGTAACACCTATCAGATGAAGCCTGTCATAGTGATGCAAAGGATAAGAAATCGCAAGCGGAAATGGTTATGCATGTTCATCCAAAAGTCGTATCTGATGAAGAAAACTGTCGAACTTATAGACACATTACAGTGTTTTCATAATGTAAACTATAACATTATGATATACTTTTGCTTAATAACTTATTTTGGTCTTACCCTTTTAGAGATCTGGATGTCCAGCATGAAGAAGTGCACATGCTTCTCCCCTTTGTTCAAAGCCAGCGTCTTGGTAACGACTGCCACCAGCATGGCAGTGCAGGCTACACCCTAAAACCCAACACACACACACACACACACACACACACACACACACACACACACACACACACACACACACACAGATGTTGGCATGGTTACTAATATATTCACCATCTGCCTTCTGTGTTCTCGACAATTTCTCAATAATCATGTAAGCGTTGGAGACTGATCCTAAATACTGAAGTGACATCAACAAGGCAGAACTCAAGAGAAACTGATGTTAACTTTAACAGTCTGATTTTAAGCCTGAATTTGTCTAAATCCTCAACAGTTGGTCTTGTATATTTTGCTCCACCATTCCCCCCAAGGGAAGGCACTTATTCAGAAAACTGAATGTTGATCCTCATACCTCATATGGTTTTGTCCAATAAATCAAAGTTATATTTACACAGAGAGTTCAATGGCTAGGCCTCTGTGGCACTGCTATAGTGCTGCTTTCCTCTGAGAATAGCTTTGTGCTATTGCTGGACAGGGAACTACAGGATGATGGTGAAGATTCAGATTTGGGCTGCAGAGAAAATCACATCCACATAGTCACACAAAAAGACATGTCATACGAAACACAGACAATAAACACTGCACTGATATCACGTCCACCAAGGATAATGAAACATAACCAGTCTTTACCTGTTTTCCTCTTTTCAGCTTGCATTAGAAACAGAGAGAAAGAAAGAGAGATCAAGCATAAGAAAGCACAAAGCAGAGTTTTCAATTTGTACATCACTCCAACAGCCACAAAATATCTATCATTACACCGTCTGTGAACCCTGGGAGGTACAAACTCTTTCCTTGGATCCATCCACACACAGTGATGGGATGCAAACAGTGTTGTCAACCCCTGAACACAGCTGCAAATTGAGTTATGGCTGGAGTTAAGCAGAAGTGCTGACCATAGAGGCTTTCAGCCATATTACAGGTGTGAGAGCCCCAGTGACTGGCTCCTAGAACTGCCCTGATGGGAGAAGGAAATTATTTTTTTCCAAATCACTGGCACAGGTTGGCACACCCTCCTGTTGTAGTGGTGCCAAAGGCAATAAACCACCTAAAAATGGATATGGTGGAAAGTTTTCCCTTAAAAGGGGGGGAAGCTTATAAAAACAAGGCAGATGGAGAATGAGAGAGGGAAAAGATTGTTTTTTACTCTGTCACAGAGGTGTCTAAACCGGACTCTTGCCCACGTCCAGAACCACAGCGGTGACACTTATCTGCTTGTACCAGAATTTAACACAGCAGACGTGAGGCAGCCAACCAAAGTCTGTTGCCTATTTAAACACACTGCCACTCCTCGCTCTCGGTGACTTATTGTTTATCTTACTTTACTGTAACTCTTTGTGTTTTATCTCAAATACCATTTCCCCATTCCTTTTACCCCGCCATCTCTATCTCCGACCCTCCCTTCCACCTTTTTGTCAGTCCTAACCTTGCCACTGCTTTGCGTAATCATTAAAACCACAATATTGTCTTGCTGTTATAGAAAAAAAACTGCACTGTGTAATCAAACAATTTGACTATTATAACTACTGACAGACTTCAGGGCTTCTTTGAAGGATGAGTTCATTTAAGCAGAAGCATCCCACTCCATACAGTGTTCTTTCGTGGACTGCACAGCACCCACTGCATGTTGACAGTTTCCCTCCATCAGTCTTATCACGTGAGTGCCTGGTACCACCAAGGTCTTTACATTAAAGCTGTGATATAAATCACACACACAGGGGAATGAAGGCATTCAGGTCTGTCAGCACATCTCGGGTGTGCAGCTGGGTAAAAGGGGTCCAAGATAACAAGTGGAATAGTGCAGAATTGGTTAGAACACAAAAACTGCAGGAGAAAAGTGAGCCAAAGTGAACTGACCCAATATGAAATGGGAAAATTAAATAGGAAAAAATGGGGGGAAGAGTTGCTGCAATGGAACAGAAGAGAACAGAAACAGAAGGGAATGAATCAAACCAGAGAGGATGATATGGAGCAGAAAAGAGCAGAACAATATGGTGCAGAACATAGGGAAATAAAATAAAACAACTCAGAACAGAATAGAACTGAATATAGAGACCAGCATGAGGATGGAATAGAGTAGAAGACAAATGAAAGGAGCAGAACAGAATAAAGCAGAACTCATGAAAAGTGAAGGTGTGTGAAAATGGACCTGTACTGACACAGAAAAACAAAATGAAAATGAAAATGAAAAGAACAGCAAAGAACATCTTGTTTTAGTGCCTTGTCAAGCTGGTAGTCCACACAGAGAAATGCCAGGTGGTTTGGTTGTGAACAAATACAGAAGTGAAACAAAGATAAGATGTGCTCTTTTGTGGTTATCAAACTGAGCATTATATGTATTTTTGCGTTCACACCACTACGGCTAAGAAATTTTCAAACAAGAGGCCAAAGATGCCAAAACAACCACTTGAAATGAAATAAAAGGAATGCCTCAACAAGTATTGTGTGTTTTATACTTAAATATGCACGCAGTTGCATGCTATTTCTTTAGCACTTGCACAAAACCTTTTTATATCATAATGAATATAACATTTTCTTACATACATTACATTTGTCAACAAGCAACCTAACCTAGTTACCATGACTCCAGTGAAGAGACACACTGCCTTGCCACAGCTGGTGTTGGGCGACACATCACCATAGCCCACTGTGAGGAAGGTGATGGCTATGAGCCACAGAGCCGTGTCCATGTGGCCTGTCGATTCTTGGGTCTTCCTGCAGGGGAAAGAAAGCAGGACAGAGACTGTGTTGTAACAAAATTTGTTAAATTCATTCGTATGGATACTGTAGTTATGGGCAGAAGGCCACATTCTTGACATAAACAAAACCATAATCCACTTTTATATAACCCCAACCAACTTAAATCTAAACATGAAACTATTTTCAAATTCTGTATGAATACATAACCATGTTCTACTTAAACATTATCATTTTAATTGGATGCCAGTGACATTTTAGAACTGATTCCTGACTGTATAGATTGATTCAATGCTGTTCACAACAATCCATTCCCCTATAATTTGTCCCAAATTACACTGTTCTTACAGGGACCTTCTTATGATTACAGTTATATATTCCTTTCTTAATAACCATATGCCCAATCCCAACCCACTGGTCTGTGAATCTGTCATAACTCAATGGACTTGATAACTTTATGTCTTAAATACAGCAATAACAAGCACCCAAGACAATGAGTCTTCTGTGTTTGATAAAGGTGTTGTTTGTTAATCAAACTGTGTTATCAGCACTGATGCTTACAGTACTTAGGCAGAAAGGAAGTGGGTACTAATGTAAACCTGTAAAACATTATGAGTCCAGTACACTTGGCAGAAACCACACAAAGAGGCCATACAGGGTGTGAGTGCTCATCTGTCTTGTGATCAGCTTATATAGAAAATGGCTGGTGTAACAGTTCAATGTTGAAAAGGTTGGTGGTCTTATCAGCCATCAATCATAAACTCTTTTATTACCTTTGACAAATCAAAACACACAAGACTGAGACGTGAAACTGAAGACAAAAACCTCCCATTAGGGTTCAAATGAACAAATGACCTCACACTGTTTAAACAGCCAAACAGGCTGCAGTGGATAAGGCTGACGTTTAGTTGGCTCGCGTTAAAGAGCAATTTGTTAGAGTAACAAAATAGAATATCATGATGATCAAATCCATTATTAGAAATCCATTCTGAACAGGAAAGTGAAATTGACCATCAAGGTTTGAGGAGGAATGTTAAACTACCAAGCATGTTGGGGTTTTTTAAGGTGCATGTGTGTGTGACGGGGAGTGGAGGTTTGGGGGAAGATAGTAACGGACAGAGCTGTAGCATGTGTGTGTGTGTTTAGGCTTCCATGAAGGAGAATAAAAAACAGAATTTTACAGTGATTATTCATTAGTGCAGGTATGGTCGTCATTTATTGTAAGAGTACTGACTGTATGAAGAACCAATCAAAAACATTCTTGTATAGTCTGTCAGATCATTTCAAAGACTACTGACTATTTTTGCACAAAAGCCTCATAACTGAAATTCTGTCAAAGTCATCCAGTGAAAGAGGGGCAGTCTCTTGTTTGCTCCATCCATGATATCTGATTGTAGTTAATCTTCACTTTCATAAAGGAAATAGAGAATGTTAATTTTGAATCTAATAAAACCATAATGACTATTGCAGAAAGCAATTCTTGCTGCTACTTTGTCTATGTGTTGAGTCCAGTCAATATTTGTTGAGCGTGGACAGCGCTCTCATAAAACTATTCAGAGCAAAGATTATGTAGGATGGTGAAATTTTAAGTTAAGTTTTTACACACATATTCAGTTTATTTCATTGTTCAGCTCACAGTTCCAGAGCAAAAATATACCCATGCTGTAAGTTGGGAAATTTGTACTGAATAAAGGAATATATAAGGAAAAACACTTATTTGCTTTCTTGCCTAGAGTTGGATGAGAAGACTGATACTCCTCTCTCGGAAGATGCTTACTATGAAGTTGCAGCCAGGCGATGGATAGCTTAGCTTAGCACAAAGACTGGAAATAGGGGGAAACAGCTAGCCTGACTCTGTCGAAAGGTTAAAACAATTCTGCTTACCAGCACCTCCAGGAAGTCACTGCTCCTGGCCAGGAAACTGTCTGGCACATATCCTCCCGTAACACCACAATGTGACATTTTTTACCTTACCATAACTTTGTACAGAGTCAAGCTTACTGTTTGCCTGAATCCAGTCTTTGTGCTAAGCTAAGTTAATCATCTCCTGGCTGTAGCTTCATAATTAGTGTACAGAAGTGAGAGCGGCGTCAATTAATTTTTACCTAACTGCTGCAAATTGTATCAATACTATGAATACCTGTTGTTTCAGCGTAGATTTTTCATTGATGCTTTCCCATTTAAAACCATTCCTATTTTTGATGGATGTCTCTCATTATATGCACAGTCAATCTCCAGCTGGTGCAAGAGCTAATGTGTCTCTTTTTTGTGAATATATTATGTACTGATTGTAATGTTTAGTATGCATAGAGAACATACATCATGTCAGTTTTTTGCTAGTGGTTTACCTATAACTAAGTCTTTTTGTAAGGATTACACACACATGCAGTTATCTTCCCTACCTCTCACACAAAGTGAGCATCCAGGATGCGGTGAGCCAGAAGAAGAGGATGAAGACCAGCAGCGTGCGCCCCGGGTATTTGTTCATCAGTACCTTGAGAACAAAGCGGAAGGTGAAGTTGATGTTGTTGAGCGAGCCAATGCTCCTGTAGGAGGCGCTCAGCAGCACTTTGCTGTGCAGCAGGATGGTTCTGTGCACCAAGTACAAGCGGAGGAACATCAGCACTGACAACAGCAGTTCCATGTCCATCAGGGCCTCGCCGTGGTGGTCGGAAACACAGAGCGGAGCCGAGGAAGAGGAGTTGACATGGAGGCCCACATCCCAGTATGTGCCAACAGGATGGATGACACAGACTAAGAGCTCCAGAGTGATCACAAGAACCCTGTGGCTGGTCATGGCAATACGCCAGTCCACCTGGTTGTGGTCAATGATGAAGAGCTGAAAGAAGAAGGAGGACAGTTAAGATGGAGCGTGAGGTAAGAAAAACATGATAAAAGTGCTGATGAAGATGGAAACAGTGAAAATGCAGTTGGATGTTTGGACTTCACTTCACTGAATGTATGCACAGTTTGACACTAGAAGGATGTTTTCACATTCATCTGCCGAAAGTAGAAAGTTTCTCTGTGCTCATTGTAAATCAGATTTTAAGGGGTGGGCCTACAAGCATGGTGTGTGATCAAATAATATATATATATATATATATATATACTGTATATATATGTACTACCTTATGATACAACTGTTTTCCTTAAAAAAACATTGAACATATAAGTAAGTGAGAATGTGTTAATCCTCTCAATAGCTATCTTGATGTTTTTTGCTTGATTTAGTTGGTCTCCTCTGACAGCAAAAAATTAAAGCTACATTAGACATCACTGAACACTGCTTGTGTGTTGGTCTCCACCCTAAAACTACCCTCCCTTATCTCCTCTTTGCACTTGCATGCACCCCACTTGTATCAGACACACATGACTTGCAACCAAACTAAAAACTCTGTAGGTGACAGCATGATCCCACCAGTCTGACAGATAAAGAGTAAAAGATACCTTGAGTCATGAAAAGTGGGTCAGTATACTACAGTATACTGTGCACGGTGCTTTCTACACTTGTTAGTACGGGCGCTTTATTGAATACGCATGCTGTGAGTTTGCATGAAGGCAAATGAAAGAGTGTTTACTCTGTTTAATTTCAACCAAATTGCTTCATGTATATTGAATTCACACACAACGGCAGCGAGCCATGTGGATTGGAAAAATATCGCAGCTGCAACATTGTGTATTCCTGTGTGGGCTAAGGTTTTCGTCCAGGGTTTTTTTTATGCATACAGCAAATATAACACAGATTATCAGTGTTGAGGCTACCATCAGTGGACCGAGAGCTCCTTTTCAAAACAATTGCCCCCAAGTATCTCTAACAAAATATCATTCTAACCACGCTAATTTGGAACAAACATAACTGGTATAAAAAAGTCCTGAAGATCAGCAATGCACCTATGCATGCACACAGACAGGCTCTCGCTCGGCACATCACAATAAGGGCGTCCGAACTGTTGGAAACAAAGGGGAAAAGTCAAACTCACCCTGATGTCCTTATAATGGAAAGCTATAATGAAGACCAGGAGACACCCAGTGGACAGGCTGATGGAACAGTTGATGATTAAGGCAATGTTTGAGCCCTGGGAAGGAAAGAGAGAAAAGGGAGATAAGGCATAAAAGGAAGGCTTTCTGCAGCAGCTGAGAGTTGATTTCTTTCCATTAATGTTCTCCATTATCATGTTTTTCTTTTTTTAAATAGCTCCTGAATAGAACAGTTTCCATGTCCACAGTGGCAATAACAGGAGTGGAAAGAGTACAAGAATATTCAACTAAAGCTGAAATGCTCAATTAACATCAATTAACTGTTTATAACTTATTAAACAAAAATGATTCATTATTCTTCCCAAATGATCGTTTTGCACAGTATGACAGTATGCTGACTACAAAACAGAGAAATAATGAAAAGGAAAGTTCATTTTATGTATATTTTCTGATCTGAAGTTAATGATATTGTGCTGCCATGCTTCAGTGGTGATGGCCAGAATAGCAGTATCTTTATTAAAGTGATTTAGTGATGAATCACCCTGCACAAATCATACATCAATAGTAGCCCAAGTTTATGCATAATCCATGATGATAAAGGGATATTAAACAATAGAAATGTATGGCAAAAATAGCACTTTGTCAGTAGTTTAGAGACTCACAAATCAAATCATGTTTTTAGGGGAGCTTGTGTCTTATTAAGAGGAGTCCAGCTCCATCTGGCTACCTTATAGTTTGAACCCTGATTGTACTCTTATGGAGGATCAAATGGTACACATCTAGGTCAGGATACATCTATAAAAAATGCACTTTTCAGTAAGAAGAATGAACTACTCCTGTATTGTCTTTTCCACAATGAATAAAAATGAATCTCCCTTTCAAAAGAGTGTTAACCATTTTCTCTTTATACTCAAGGGTTTGTTAGAGATTTCCTTTCCATAAAAGATTATTTAGAAGTCATTTAAATGCAATATCCTGCTGATTGTGTTACAACAGCGTAACTGTAGGCTATGTAATTCCTGCCTTTCCAAAAGGAGCTTCATTAGAAATTTACAGTTCTTGGACCTAATGAAAGTGGAATTAGTGATTCTGTAATGTACTCCAAATAAAGTACTTAAAAAGCCACTCAATTACAGTAGCGAGAGTGCTTGTAATTAAATACTTTCCATTCTAGGGAACTGACAGCTGGACACCGATACACACGATTGTCTGATTGTTTTCACAAACTGAAAATGAAAACTAAGCATAGGCCTCTGTCATATCACCTGGATGTCAGCAGGTTAATGATACCCTTCATTCATGCATCTCCGTGCGACTAATGCAACGTCAATGGAAGTTTTTTAACGGGAAGTGCAGTTTATTGTGGTTTACAGTTAAAAAGATAATTACAAACTTTCAAACTTGAGGAAACTTTAGTGTGTAGGTGGTACGATGTGACGTCCGTTGGCAGGGTACGCCAGTTTCCACAGTAGCATCCACATCATGTCTGTATTTCATCCAGGGCTAATTAGAAGACCCCACAAAAGTTCAACATTTCACCACATTCCATAAGGAGAGTTCAACAACATGTTTCTTGCCGAGTTTTAAAAATTGTTTTTGTAACGTTTTCCTGTTGGAAACACTCATTTCAGGCCCGGTGAAACTAATTTGGGTTAACCTTAACCTTGTTTCTCATCATCGTCTTGGACATACAACAAGCCACCATCACCGGGACAGGCCACCCACGGCATAGCAAAAAAAATTAAAATAAAACACTGAATCCAATGCAAAAGAAGGTGGTCTGGTTTGTATGTACTGTAATAAATAAATACTTCAAAAGAAATAATACATGCATCTGACTTTAATTTTCTAATTTAGTTTGTTATTCATGTGTGGTTTTATTAGCTTTCCTGGAGATTCTCATGCTATAGGTCACTCATGGAACTAGGGGTATCCTGTAATACACTTAAGGATAGGCTTACAAATATTATCCTGCAAGAACATTATAGGGATGTAGTGGGACAGTCACAGGGAAGGAAACATCACAGCAGGTAAAACAAAGAGTGACCCTTCATGCCAGTCAAACACTGCACCAGACAACACTGGTGGATTTGTTGGGCGTAAGTATGCTGATGAGTGAAATCATGGCACTGATGGTTCCAATTAAACACTGTACAGGACAAGTGTGGCTGATTAGTTGTCAGAGATTTTTTTAAAAAAGCCATGAAAGACCACATGTGAGTAGGATGTCACTTCCCTGCAGTTCTCCATCCCGGTCCGTGACACCCTTAGCACTGCTGGTTTTCTTTCTTACCAGATAGAGAGAACCACTGCCCTACAGTAATATTATAGTTATCTTTTGGATGAGGATAGTGGTTCATGACTCAGTAGTCAACATGTTTTCATTATCACAAATGACCACAGCAGCACCATCCAATAATTACTGCTCTCTTTTTGTGCATGTGTTGATCAGCGAAACAACCCAGATAAGGTTCACCTATATCTTAGACTAAGTTGGTAAATGGATCTGTACAGTCTAGTCTTCTGACCACTCAAAGTGCTTTTACACTACATGAGACATTCACCCTTTAACACACATTCACTCAGTGATGGCAAAGTCCATCGAACAGAAACTAACATTCATACACCAATGCACGGCATAGTATCTTGCTCAAGGATACTTCAACATGTGGCACCAGGAGCTGGGGATCGAACCCACAACCTTCCGATTAAGGAACAACCCGCTCTGCCTCTGAGCCACAGCCGCCCACCAAGTTCCAGCAGATGGCAACAGATTTTACACAGGTTCGCCTTGTTTTGGGCCATAGTTGACTCATATGTAGTGTGGAAGTGTATATCAGCCTCTGTGTGTCTTACATTAATGCTTTCAGGCCAAATGTGGGTAACACAGAGGATGCTGGTTTTGGGGATGAGTAGCAACATGTTGTGAGCAAGAGCAGGTAGAGCCGACATCCTGGTTTGTGGGTGAGTTTTGTCTACTGCATATAAGCTGTAGGTAGGCTTTATACGTAAGCCAGTTTTCAGTATGGGGGTGAGCTGCAACCACATTGCAGCATGCGGTCTCATTTCAGAAAATATAGTGGCACCTGCATTTCAATTTTAAGGGGAGGTGAATGGGATGGTGTTTGCTATGACAAAATGTTGGAAACAAATATATCTTTTTTTAAATGATAAGGAAAAGGAAAAGTAATATATATATTAATATATTTTTTTGTTTGCTGATGAATAATTTTTAGATATCTGCAGTGGCTTAAGTCCAAGCACCGCACTTTTACATTTTATACAGAGGTGGCATTTAGCACTAAACCTCCAAGTACACACAACAAAATGATCATCCATTATACTTCTGCACTTTCATTCGCCCTTGGACCTGGCCCGTTACTTTAAAACAACAAAGCAAATAAGGTAAAAAAGGTGGTGTACCAAGTCAGAAATGTACAATGAAAGCATAAATACAAAACAAAAACATGTTAAGCTGCCAGTCAGCACAGACAATTAAAACATGACAACATATAACATATATACTCACAAACTTTTAAGATAGCAGGACAAAAAGGACAATGGACACAGTCTGATAAATACAGACAGAAAACAACAGCCATGGCAAGCATGCAGTGATTATGTATGATGGCAGATCTGGTTATGAAAATGAATAAGAATAAGATGCTCCTTTACTGATTGAAAGAGTAGTTGTATCACATATTTAATGGAGGGATGTCCCAAAACTGGGTTCTTTTCCTCCTCGAGACAACAATGTCCCCTTTTATGCTAACTAACTTATCTCCAGCTGAATGATTCAGAATGATGAATGTTCAAAAGGATGGAGGTGTTAAAAGTGTTCAGATTTCCCCAGTAAAGGAAACCTCACATCACACTGTGTTTCTCTTTTACTCTATTCTCTTAATCATGCTAGCCTTTTGAAGTCTGTGAAGTCATTCCAGGAAAGTCGTCAAAGAGCTGCAGAAAAGAGGACACAGGTTGCATCCAGGTCAGAGTGCATGCTCCTGGCTTTAACACAGCCGAACTCAATACATAGAGACTTTTAGACTGGCCATGCAAACACTCTAATTATACACTAAATGATGTGGAAAGATAGCCTGTGTACTGTGAGCAATCTCGCTGTAGGGGAAGAGGTGAAATGTGGAAAAACGTTCCGTAAATAGCCCTGTTTTTTCGTGCATAACCATGAAAAGGTAATCTTAAAATATAAATTTGTAGACTGGAGTTAACTTTGATAGGCATGCAAGTTAAGTTTTCCAAAATATCCTGCAGTGAACTTTAAAAAAAAATGAAAACCAATAATACTGTAGAGCTCTACTTTTGTTAAGACAGTCCTGTTTGACCAAAAGTCACGTCAGTCCACAGGAGGAGGAAGATGTCACAGCTCACACTCACGACTTGGAAATCACATGAAGTTTAAAGATGAATGCCGAAAATGGTTTTATACACTGAATTGTTAAATCAACATTGCAGCCTCTCCAAATTAATCTGCTTTAACTGCTGCAGAGAACACTTTTCCAGTGCATCAGCATTTCCATGGCACCGAAGTTGATGCCTGTTGTTAGGAATGGACAGACAACACCTGTTCTTGGTTCGTATTTGTAAACTGGAATAGTAATGTCGTATCCGTGCCAGCAAGCACCGTAAATTTCACAACCATGTTTCTGCAGGTCCAATTCTCTGAATGCACCAGGCCTTTAATTATTTATTTTTTTTATTTTTGCAGGTCAGGCCATATTTCCATAGGTTTCTAAAAAGATTGTAGCTTATGTGAGTTAGAAATGCGGGGCTCTTTGACACTGTAATCAATCACTGACTTCACAGCATAGAGGTGGTCTGCTGTTTTGCGGCATGCATGAGAGCTTTTTTCCACATGTGGAACTGGCGTGTGCTGTAGGAAGTCAGGGGGAGTTAATAATTTGTTGATTGTGTGGCCTGGCATTGTTATCCACTGAGATCTGCATGTTAATGTCATGAGGCTCTGCTACCAAATAGTGTGTCTGGAAATGGAATAACTAATCAGGAGGTCAGAAAGGTTCAAAGCCCAGGTGCAGGTTCTGCTGTTGTGCTGCATGGGTCTTGGACTGTCAAGGAAGTTGTTATGACAACAAATGGAGCCAGTTGTGTAACTGTTTTTTTCTGCACCAGTTATGATAAATGTTACTACTGAAATATGTTAGTTTAGTACATACATAGTTTAATATAATACCATTAATTTGTCTGTATTATAGTCTGAGTGAAAAGCTATTTTGAGCTCCTGTAACTTCTCCTTAAGTAGTTAAAGAGGAGCACAGCAGCAGATAATTAACATTGCTTTCCACTGTATGATGCAGGAAACAAGATTATGATGGTTTCGCTGATTATTTTTATAATTTGATGATGAGTTCAAGGGCCTGTCTGGACCAGCCTAAAAACACAAAGTGAATTTTTTATGTCAAACATTTGGCTGCTTTACAAAGCATGTACTGCAGTGTGAATGTTCTAAGTTAAAACCCTCTGCAATGTGTGCAAAAGTGCAACATTTCATTAGCTCAAGCTTAGGTTTGATTTGTGAGATTATAGTTTAGTAGCAGAGGGCAGTATAATGAGCGTGCTGTAAGACTACAGCTTTAAGGCCAAGTGTCAACAAAACCAAAGTATCACATTTCAAACTAGTCCAATCGAAGTATTTGATTTGGTTATCCGGTCAGTTCCTACACACTGAAGTCAGCCTAATAAACTTTTAAATAAGTGTTTAATTTCTTCAACCTACCGGTGTATAGATGAAGGGACATAACTCGGCGTGGATTATCATGAGCAGTATCCCGAGCACAGCGGTGCCCAAAGCCAGCGCGCACAGGCGCTTTTTATCCTCCAATAAAAACTTTCTGTCTCGCAGTCTGTAGAGGTTGTCTCCCTCCATAGGAGCTGTCCGCTTCCCGGGAAGTGACAGCGGCACGGACACTTCTGCCGAGTCCCCGCCGTTTCGATTGATCAGACCATCACAAGTCACACAGTCCACTTTGGAGTTGCCGCGCAGGCTGCAGTTTGTCATCTCCATCTCCAGAGCGCACACGAGACGAGCGGCTGTCCCTCTCTCCCTGTCGTCGCTGTCCGCTGCTCCGTCCTCTGCCTGTCCGCTCTCCCCTTTGCTTTCCTCCCGAGTTGGGGAAGGCATATTCCGATGGGCGCACTGTCTACCAGGCCCTTCTCTCGTTTGTCGCTCATCGAAGTAGCGGGTTGAACAAAACTTTGCCTCCAGCACACCCTCACCTTAACACTCCTACCAACCGGCGCGGCTTGGTTACGCGCACTGATGCTGCTTGCCCACGGCAGTATGGCTATGTACTCCCTATTTGCATGGGTCATTATTTTAAGAGTGTGCGTCAGTCAGCCACAAATAAATTCTTTGTGTGTGTGTGTGCGTGCGTGTGTGTGTGTGTGTGTGTGTGTGTGTGTGTGTGTGTGTGTGTGTGAAACGTGAAAAGAAATAGGTTTTTTTGTTTTGTTTTGGTTTGGGTTTGTTTTTTATATACATTTTTCCACTGTTTTATATTTTATTGTTTAATTACCAAGGAACAAGCCACTTGCTTGCCTTTTATTTTATTTTATGAACAAAAGTAAGGCAATCTATAAAAATAGGAATCTCAGTTTACATGTTTTTACTTAATTTTTGCTAACAGCAGCTACAGGGTGACATCTTGTGGCTGAGTGCCTTCAACCTCGGAGTCTATTCCAAACATTAGTCAAGGCTTGCCAACATTGGCAACGACCCATATCTGTCCTGGCCTTCAGTCTTCGGTTGTTTTTTTCTGGTATTTTTCTCTATGGTGTTTTTTTTTTTCTTTCAAATAAAAAATTAATTAAATTATCAATTATTGTATATTGTATATGCCCTTATTGTTCATTGGCATACTTCCCATCCATGCCCTAGCTGCTTAACTTTTGCGCCTCTCTTGGATTAAGTGCTACCTTATCCAGCTGCCTTCCCAATGTATTTCAATTAGTTCAGTTGCCAGAATGTCCTTTCCTGCAAATGCTCCATAGGCCAAACGAAAAAGTGACACACACTCTCCCCTCGCCTCTTTACTGGGCCTGTTTAAGGAGAAACAGCGTCATGACCTTGGGCTAAATGACGCACCCAGCGCACAGGAGCCCTTCCGCTGCAGCATCCTGCTGCTCATGCTGAAGGTAATGACCTGTAATGATCCGCACAGCTCTGAGTGACAGAACAACTTTAAGTAATGTTCAGACTGACAGGTGCTTTTCTAGGTCAAGTCAAAATATTTTTATGACAGAACACACAGACCACACGTCTACACAGCACCGACCTCTGCAATCATAAGTGTTGATTATAGGAATGAGCAAAATAACAGTTTATAATATCAGATGTGAGTTTATTTAATCAGCTGCAATAAGAAGGTAAACAGTTGATGCAAAGGTGAAAGCAAATTAATGTCTAAAGCACACAGATGAGCTTCAAAGCTGCGTGGACATTAAATAAATATGCATCAAAATGATCAGATAATCACAGTAGCCTACATAAAGATCAGTGAGTGAGAGTATTCAGGATATAGCGCTAGCATATTTTTATAGCAAGGAAAGTTATTTACAATGAAAACTGTAAAAACCTATAGCTTTAAGCAGACAGAATAAGGAACATTATACATTCTACTGACATCAGAGATAGTTTAAGCCATTAAAAACCCCATTTGTGTTCTGTGAAGCTATATTTCAAATATACAACAGCCACTGTTAATAAAAAAATATACAATTTCATGTATTAGCTGTGAGTTGAGTGCCATCCAGTGGTGGCCAAATAAATTACAATAAGATAGTGAGGTTAGAAAGTGTGCGTCCGTCTATTGTATCTAAGTTCTGTATTATTTACAAGCAGTTTAGTAAAAATATTCTTAATATACAGATATTGTCACTCTAGCTACAATAGATTAAAACCCTGAATCACATTTTACATTGATTAACTGTGGCATATACACTGTGAACCACATTTGGTGAGAGAACTGACATAATAACAAATATAACACCTGAAAAGACAAGTATTTGGCATTAAGAATATTGCTGTGAGTTCCTGAGTTACTCCTAGCACCCAGTGACTGGCGTCATTCTTCACGTGTACAGTACATGAAAAAAATAGCAGTGCAGACCTAACAGATATATAAAAAGAAGACTGTTTTCACTGAAGTCCAGTGTACAAGCCATCAATTACAAGTCATCGGAAAAGAAAAGGAAAGAGGAATTATTAGAGGTTTTACAAGAAATAACTTTCAGTTACAGTTAAAATGTTCTTTTTTGGCCCAAGTTTAGCTGAACTCAGAGACCTGACACGACATGGCTCAGTTAAAAGGAGCTTGGAACGCTCTATCCACCTTTACCCAAAACATCCTGGACGGTCTAGCCCTTTACAGCTCCCCACGGCTGCAGAGTGGCCTGAGGCACAATGAACTGCGGAGATGGCTGCGGTAAGATATAGTAGCCAAAAACCTGCTGGGGCGGAGGCGGCGGTGCAGGAGGCACGCACACTGTGTTCAGAAACACTGGAGCGCCCTTCTTGTACTGATGCCAAACTGGTGCAGGGTGGTAGAAGTACTGGAGGCTAGTGGGGATCTGAACAGAGAGAAAGATTGGAAGGAGTACAAGAGATTAGAAGGGGAAGGTGGAGAGTTTCCAGCATGAGTGTTAAACACACTTTGTCCATATGGGAGGAATCAACAGTACTTTCCTTTCTACAACATGTAATACTGAAACCCCATCATTACATTGTCAACAAATCCCATAAAACCAACAATCTCTTACTCAGTTTCTCACATGTCTAAAAGCTGGTCACAAATATTAAGTGCCTTTGCTTTGAAAAGGCTCAGTAATTTCCTAAAACAAGTTGAAACTGTATTGTTTTTTAGCAAAAATTAGTAATTGGTGCATTTCCTGGGGACTATTTTAAGCTGCGGATTATTACTCATTTGATGCTCTAGGAAGTATTTACAGCAGCAGGGAAGTGAATGTGGGAGTGACTCACACTACAGTGCCTGTGTAATGGTAATCAGTAAGGCTCAATAAAATGAAGCTCTCTGGCACAGAGGGATAAATTATATCCGCCTTTGCCTATACAGACAATATGTGTTAGTGGGATGAATTTATAGTTGTTTTTTCATGGGATTTCTTGACTGTAAGAAAAGTACAAAATATGAGCAGCTTCATCATTTAATTGTGAGACACCAACAGATGGTCCTAAAAGAAAGATAATTACCATATTTCTGACGTATTTGACCTTATTTGGTCCTTCTCTGTTCCGCTTCCGAATCCTGGGCACCATTGCTATGGTGTAGGTGTCGCCTTCTGCCTCTTCCTTCTTGACGACCTCCTTCTCGCCATCTTTTGCCTCCTCCTCTGTGTCACTCGATGCAGTGGAACCACAATCCGAAGAGGTAGCAGAGTGGTAATCTGATGTGTCCAGGTTTACCAATTCCACAGAGGAGTCATCCTGTTCTCCCTTCTCTCCCTCCTCGTCTTCCTCTTCAAAACAGGCTATTGTGAAGGGCCTGCTGTTCTCTCCAGCTCTGTGAAGAGGGAGTGGATTGTTGAAAATGCAACAGTCAACCATGTTCCTACTTTTTGCTGTTATTCATCGTTTCACAGATGCATCATGACTTACACTCACTCATTATTCCTGGCTAGACTGAGAAATGCGTCTTTGTTGATAAAGCATGTCTGTCAGTGTCATTCTTTGCCTCTGCCTCAGCCGGCCAGCCGGTGACTCACCTTGCACACACCTCCAGTGGGTCAATCCACAGTGTGATCTCAGACGGAAGGCCTATCTCACTGGGTGTGAGCTCGCTCTCCTCACATGCCTTTAGGACCACTTCACAGAGTTCTCCGTTATTTATCCGGATACATCTGTGGATTAAGCGTTAAAGATTATGTAGATCTCAAAAATAGGGATATTGGTCTATGATCTTTGAAGGGAGACCGCTGTATACAGTTTTCACACTGATCATTACCTGTATGCCTGGCCTTTACTAGGGCAGTCTGGGTACCAGTGGTCGTCATATTTGTCACATAAAAGCTTCTGTAGCTTCTCAGAAAACAATTCTGCTTTGGCTTCATCAAGCTTGCCACGTGCCACAGCCAGGCGTTTGAGGAAGTCCACTCCAGCCTTTACCTCTCTTTTCATGGTGTCTGTAGAAACAGAAGATGAAAAAAAAATGTATAAATTGAAGCCGTCAACACATTTATCTTGGTGTTTCTGTGTATGATAAGATAGTATATGGCTCTGTAATCACATATCACAGAGATTTGTTTTTTTTGTTCTTTTTCCAAACCAGAGTACAAAGAATTTTGAGATTTTGGTAACAGATTGTGACTTCCCTTTAAATGAGATTGCGGGGGGAGCAGGAACTTCAGTTGCGGTGATAACAACACTTCCCTGTGCAGTTGCCCCTGAGCCGTCTATTTTTATGACCTTCAGGAGAGGTCTGTGTAAAAGGGTGCCAGGCATTTTACAGCTATGGACATGGCTCGTTGTTGATAGAAGGTCTAGAGTTTGTATTCAGGCAAACAAGATGCAAACTAGCGCTGCTGTGTTGACATGTAAGTATTCTAAAATGCAAATCCAATGAGCTCACTATGCTGTTTATCCTCTGATAGCGTGTCTGTTTGGATTGGGGTGCCAATGTCAGCCTGACCAGAGAGAAGAGTGTGTTCAACAAAGGCCAAGGCAATTCAAACCTTGCAGCCAAACTGGCTTATGCTCAGCGTGCTAACATCCTGCTGATGTGAAGTTGTGCCTTGAACTTTGTGGTGCAGACAGTCATTTGTTATTGAGGCTTGAAACACACCACTGTTGTTTCAGCCTGTGTAATGTGTTGCGAGAGAAAATTATTATTTGCCCCGGTAGGCGAAGCCACAGTCTCCACTTGAGAGTAGCAGTAACTTTAAATCTCTAACAAATGTGTTTTGCCATTACCTGAACTATGAGAGCATCTGTGTGTTATCAGCCTTATGTTTAGATGTTCGATCAGCAGCTTTATATATTTCAGTCAGTTATTATTTTGGGAGGTAAACAGGGTGAAATTGCAGGTATTCTTTGGGTTTCTGTTGTTGTTGCTGCTCCTTCAGTTATAGAGCCGTTTTGCTGTCTGTCACTCAGCAGCTAAATATTCATTCCAACAGTCCCCACCAGCAAAAAGGTTAGAAATCTTGCAACATGCTGACCTGCAGGTTGTCACTTTGTCTGACACACACACACACACACACACACACACACAGGTTTTTCTGGTCAGCTTTGCAGTTCCAGATTTCAACTGCTACTGTGAGGAATGTTCAAGCAGTTTTTGTACTAATTCCCCGAAATACCGCGTTAAAGAGGCCACAGGAATTCAAAACAGAAAAGGTGTTTTCGCTGACAGAGCTTTTAGTAGGTGTCTTACAGCGTTTTTTGTTCCCTCTCAACCTTATTATTCTGTGTTTGTGCCTTTAAACAGAATGATTTTGTGATGGACTAATGAAAATGAGTTGAGATTATTCATATTCCAATTATCTGAAATCAGGGATGAAACACAAATTAGGCTTCACATGTTTCCGTGAAATAATTCAAGAAATACTCTTTATATTAAAGAAATACTCAGTTTGCAGTATGACCTATAGTATCCTTCAATATAGGTCATTGTAGTATCAATTAATATCAATATTTGAGTTGTTTAAACCATGTATCTCTAAATTTTGTGACTTTAGTCAATATTATTTTTCCAATATTTTGTTGACGATTAATCATTTGGTCCATAAAATATTAGAAAACAGTAAAAAGGATCATCACAATATCTTAAACCCAAGTCTATGCTTGGTTTGTCCAACAGACAGACATGACAAACACTCACATTTGAGAAAATGGAGCCAGTGATTTCTTTCTGTTATTTAGGTATTAACTGTTCCTTTACTTCGCAAACTAATAAACCATTTAAAAACCTCTCGGATTATCTAAACACATTCACAAAGCTGAAACAGGACTGTTTTGCTTTGCTCTTAAGAAAGTCGACATTAAGTCATAAGTCATTGTTGGCCCTGTGGCAGGGTGTTAAAGTGCAAACATGCAACATCCCACTTATTACCACGGATTCACTATAATGTACTCTAAAGACAGCCAAGATGAGTTATGTTTTCAACTAGCTTGCGTCACACCAACTTAATAAAAAAAAATGTCTAGATACTAAAGAAACATACAGACATCCACATCGCTGATGGCGTTTGTTCTCTCCGATTACTTCACATGCACATGTCATTCCTTCGATCTAATCAGAGGTCCAGTGATGCCCTGAAAAAGCTCACAGCCATGACGACCAGAGCAGGCTCCTCAATCTGTACACCATGTTTACCATCTGTCTGTTTACTGAACAGTGACCTACGGCCATTATCACAGACTCTGCTGATACCGTTTTCATTTTATGTGTGAAGACAACTTGACCCGTTTGCAAACACAAAATTGCCCCAGTCTGCCAAAACTGCATACAAACTGTGAAAGTGTGTTAAAATGTTGGTGTATTGTTGGAGGACAGGCTGGATCCTTTCTTGTGTGTGTGTGTGTGTGTGTGTGTGTGTGTGTGTGTGTGTGTGTGTGTGTGTGTCACTTGACAGCTTACTTGGGTTCAATGTTTTGTCTAGCATACCATAACTTTACGTGTTTCTCAAACTATAGGCAAAACAGCTGTCACAACAGAACGCAAACAGGTCTGATGAGGGGTTGGAAGATGTGATTGACAGACAGGTACAGGTGAAGCTATCTGACCCATTTGAGGTATTTTGTCTGGTTTCGTCAACATTTACTCTGGGTGACAAACAAAACAAAGGAGACACAACCAGTGCCTGAAATGGGCGAGTACTCACCACTACTGAGCACTTCTGTTTGTTTGTTTTTTGTCCCCATGAGTACCTTTAACTTAACTTCTTACTGAGTTCTGCCACCTCTGGTAAATATGGCCGTACCCACCACTGAGGTCACCAGTATTTTTTTCCCCCAAGGGGTATACAATAAAAGCTGTGAAATTATTGTCTGTGTACAGCAACACTGGTGACCTGCATCCCTGTGTAAACGTATGGGGTTAACACTAACTAGAACAAAAGCACTGAAAATGTCCACCTTAAAAAGGATGAAACATGAAAAGAATTAGAGGTTGGGGGTCATGTTGTGTTTAGGGTTGTGTTGAATTAGGGTCCTGGCAACTTTTTTATTTATCCAATTCAGGCACTGGACACAACAAAGAAACAAAGACACAACTGTATGTGAAGGAGAAGACACGTGTTTGTGTGTGTGTGTGTGGCTGCTCATGGGTTCCTCAGACAACTAGAAAGATAAAGAAAAAAGACCAAACGACAGCTGAATTAACTCTCAACCCTTTAGTCGGTTTCCTTCTGCTGTGATGAAGGAAACTTCATATGCTGGAAATAACGCATTTGGGTTTTCTGAAAGACGCGGAAACCCCCCCAGTGGAAATGAGTAGAAACAGACGTACGGTGTCATTTCGTTTGCTTAGATTACTACAGGTTCAAGTTGGACCAACTTAACAAGGCGATTTAGCAAGTTTAGAAAATGTTAAAAGTGGGGTTGTTAGAAAAAGTTTCCGTAGTGGGTCAAACACCTACTTAAAAAACAAAAACAAATTAACTATTAAAAATAAACATAACGGCATAAAAGCTAGTGAAAAATGCTGTAACAATAAAAAAAAAAAAAAAAAAAAACACAACAGCGACACATTAACAAATACGCGTGTTTTCAGAACTGGCTACATTTACAACAACAAAAACATTTAAAAACATTTGAAACAATAAAGACAAGCAGAGCGGTACTCACGTGAAAAAGTGTCCAGCGGTCGGTGAGTGCCCTCGGCTCCTTGTGTCTCTCGTTCTCGCGGTTGCGTGCCTCTGTCTGTGCCGATGTGTTGGAGTTATTATGGTCAGCACATGTTGCTTCCTTGTTCTCTGTTCAGCTCTAGCTGCTACTGCTGCAACAGAGACGTAACATTACCGTCAGCGTGACTCACTTCCTTTACTCAGCAGCAGCGTGAGCAAAAGCTGACTGGCTCCCCGCGCGAGCTGACACCCCGCCCGGCCCAAATATGGGCAGTCAAGGTAAACAGCTGACTGAGGGGATTTCAACAACAGATTTCACTCTTACGTTTGTTGCTTCCGGCTCATCACAACTCTCGTATGACATTTGATATGTATCCCTAACTGTGTTTGTGTCAATGGCTTTACTGTGTGCGGCAGATATAACCGTGACACTGTGGTGACAGGTGGTTCTCCTTCCTAACAAAGGCGCCCTTTATGTGTGGTGTAATGTGTAACTAATTAATTAATGTGTGAGTTATTTACAATGCCATATAGATCAGTTGTAAGCCAATAAGAACATATTTGTAGTTGCTAGGTTGTTATAAACATCATTTTCCCATAGCAATACCACAATGTGAAACTACTCGTTACAATAATCTTAACAATAAACAAAATAAAAAGTACTTATTGTGCAGCAGAATGGCCTTTATCGCTGATATTATACATGTTATTATTATTATTATTATTATTATTATTATTAACATACACTGTCATTTAATCTATTATAATGTATCATCATTTTAAATGGTAACATCTTTTTTGGGTGTCATAAGTGTGAACCTGTAATACTACAGCTGTCAAATAAAAGGAGGGAGTAAGATGTACAATGTTAACTTCTGAAATGGAGTAGAGAAGTAGCGGGAAGTAAATGTATGCACATTTACTTAAATAAAACATTACATCACTGGTGAGAAACTGCGGTCACAAATCTACAGTTTAAATGTTAATAAGTTCTTAATTAAGTGATTTTATTTTGGATGTTATGAACCTTTCGTTTTCCAGATCATAAAAAATGTAACTGTCCATTGGAGACGTTTCTCACAACCTGACAATAAAAGTTGTTATTATTAATAGCTTATATCTGATAAAGCACTAGTAAAATATTTATTAACCATTAATCTATATGAAGCCATACACGTTTTTAAAGGCTGCTTTATTATAAAGTGATTATGTCTTTTACTATTTTGTCACATTTTCCTAAAAGAAGTACTCAGATCATTTATTAAAAGCACCAGTTTGTGTGTGTGTGTGTGTGTGTTTGTGTGTGTGTGTGCATCTAGCCTGAGGTTACAGATTACAGCCAACTCAATAACCACTCGCCTTCCAAGGACGTAGGAGAGACTACGGTGGCCATGAAAGTCCAAAAAACAGCCAACCAGTGTTTGTTTTGTCTGTTCTGGGCTACTGTAGACAAATGGCGGGTCAACATGGCGGAGTCAACCAAAGGCGACCTGCGATAAAAATCCTTCTAAGGTAACAAAAAACAACTATTCTTATTTTTTTTATATAAATGTGACATAATCTTAGTAAAAGTCCACTGTGAGTGTTATATTAATTAAATACATTATATTGTTAAATGATAATTGTTGATGCATTTTAATGTAACCAGTTGAATTGAAGTTAACTTAAACAACTTCATATGTGTTTATCTATTTTGACATAATGTATCTTATTTTGTAAGATGCTCCTATGTTTTGTTTTTAAAACCTTTATCTGCAAAGTAATCAGTAACTTTAGTTGTCAGATAAATGTAGTCGAGTAAAAAGTACAATATTTACGTCTGAAACGCAGTGGAGAAGAGTACATTCAGCACAGTAGATGAGTAAATGTACTTTTCCTTGCTCTCATTTAGGTTGGCTGTTATGTTGTTTTGCTTTTAGGGGTTTTGTTGTAAAAAAGTGGATGGACAAACTAACTGTACTGTAACTGCACTGGAATGTAAAACTCTAAATGATTACTGGTTCTCCTAATGTCTAAAATGTGTTTCTGGATCAATGCTGCACTGCTTTGTTTCACAGGGAATTGACACCATTTAGCCTGTTTGGATTGACTCTGGCTTATTTTCAAAGACTGTCCCATCTGTGTTATGCACCCAGTGCTCTTTTGACCACAGAGCTCCAGCCATAACAAGCTGTGAGTCTGTATGTTTAAGATCAATAAAGCATCCATAAATACCAGCAGTTCACAGCAACACAGACTGAACGACTGCAGCTCTAAATCACACAGTACAGGCTCATATAATATTAACAAGGTAGTACTGTCCTTTTTTGCCCCTCTAATTATCTATATATCTATCTATTCTATATCCATCTTATTTAAAGGTTACTATAGCTGTAAAATAAATGTTAAAGGTATCAGAGAAAAATAAGCATGAAGTGTCATGAAATAGAAATATTCCAGTAAAATACAACTGCTTCTTAGATGATATCGATCGGTGTGTTGCATTTCACTCTCGACCAGACAGTGTTTGTTTCTCTTTGTGACCACTAGAGTGCAGCCTGGTGTCTTTTCTCGAATTTCATCCACATGAAAATGTTGGTTGCATATTTTTAAAGCACGTTGCACTTAAACAAAGCAGAATCTTACAAAATTATTTTTCAGTCTTTATTTCTACCATCTGCTCTCTTTTTCTCGCTCAATTCCTGCACGTGTCAGCTATCATCAAACCACCATCCCTCAAATTGTGTGTCTTTTGATTGAATATAAGGCTCTGATTTTATTTGAAGTATTGCTTTTTTGTAGGAAGTTCTGCAGCCTCGTACAGGGGAGAAATAAAACAATAAAGTCAGCAATTAATGCTTAATGGAGAAGTTGATTTTCTCCGCGCAGTGTTTGGTTACCTCTCTAAAATCTCCTATTCCACTCTCAATTTCTTTGTCCTTTCCTCTACACACACCTAAATGCCCCTTCTTCTCACACCTATAACAGTTACAGTGGTGTGAGTGTGTTAGTGTCAGTGCAGGTACGATGAGGACATCGGTCAGATCTGTTTGGATTTTTCTTCACTCCTGCCTTTACTGGGTCACACTCCCTGTCCCAGATGCCAACTCAAGAGTAAATTATTGCTGTGAGTGTGTATGCAAGGGATAGAAATAGATATATAGAGAGAAACAGATGTGAGAGAGGTAGAAAATGTTGAAGAGTGGGTGTCTTTGGTATTGATTAGCATTGTTTGAAGGCTGGTGCAAATTAAATAGCTCTCTCTGTACCCGTTTTCCTTCTGTCTTTCTTTCTCACTCTTTTGCTGTTGTTGACCTCCTTCCCACTCTATCGCCTTGTGGTGAACCTCTGTAGGCAATTCCTGTTGTTAACCATAAGACTGATTGCATTATAGTGTCTTTAAACAAGCAATTAATATTCCAAAAGAGTCACAGGTCTTTCTGTCTTCCTTTCATCTGCACAACTTTCTCCATCTGAAAACTATTGATTTTCCCTGTCAGTTTGTCATTTATGCTACTCAAACAATGGTCAGTATTCTGCTGTGGTAATGGGAACCCGAACTGGGACACATCATACAAACATACGCATACACCTTTATTTATTATATTATATAAGTGTCATGATTTTTGTATTTAAGTATTGGAAATGAAAGCACTTGACCTCGAAATGTGATCGTTCTTTTTCAGGAACAGCTTCTCTCTGAACACGTCTGGCGGTATCAATGAAGCCCACACGCATACACCACATGCAGCCTGCTTCGCCTTTAAAAACATATTGATTTCTCTCTTTCGCAGGGAGCTTAATGCGATCGATCAGCCAGGCCCTTTCAAGATCAGCGCCAGTATAAGCATCTCTTCCCCTAACACACATGCTGCCTCTTTCCCCTCAGGTAATGACTGTCCTTGGGCTGGGGGAATAGTTTGTTTGCATTAAGAGAGCGAAGTGTTTCTCGTGGCATCCAGTCCCTCTCCTTCCTCTCTTGTCCCCAGTAATGTGGTTAAGTATGGAACGTGTATTTGCTTCTTTGACAAACGGTTTGAGCGAATGCAGCACACACCTCCTTTGACCTTTATCATCTGCCCATCCCCCCTCCCTTCTCTTCCTCCTCCTCCTCTCCACCTCTCAGTGGGTCGATACCTATTTGTATTTGCAATGCATTAGACCAGTGCCCTCTTTTTAGATTGAAAAAGTTGGCTTTTCTCAGTTTGGTGCCTTGCAGGCAAATCACACCAAGTGGGCAGATGTTTTGTTTTTTTATTTTCCACCTTTTTCTTATGTTTTAAACCATTAAGATCAGTGTAATCACATTCTGTCTGTCCGTGAAACAAAAGCACAAATTAAGACTTCTTTCTTCTAAATCTTGATTACAGATGCTGAGACATGATGAGAGACCCTCAGTCCCAGCCACCATAAATATTCTACGTGTTTAAGAAACAGTCCTTCACCTGCTGCATGGTCTGAACCCTCACAAAAAAAATCAGGAGGCTAACTAACTAAAATAGTTAATAAGATGAGAAAGAAGGAGAAAAACATTTCTACTCCTCAAAATTATGTTTGAAATTGTATGTTCACTCTCCTGCTTAAACCAATCTCAGCTTTTAGGCCAGAACACAACACTGACATGAACTGGAGTGCGGAACTTTTACATATGGCTATATATCTGTTATATGCGACCCCTTTCCAAAAGAGTCCACACAACTGATTAAGCCTGTCACCACCCAGTAAATTTTGCAGTATACCTGAGTTTTTAAATCTGGTGCTTGTGGCGACATTCTTGTGCCAGCACACCAGTAGTGACGCGTTTTACGTCAAACAGCAACGGCTGGTTTGTCAGGGCTAAAGGGGGGTGCAACCATAGTGGTGGAGTAAGCTATAGCAACTAGAGAGAGAGTGTGGTGGATCCTTTAAAAACCAAACATGATGCATCATACTGTGAAAACTCCTTCCACCGCAGACAGAGGGAAAACAATTGGCAACCAACGGCTGAAACAAAATTCCTGTAGCTTGGTAAAAACAATAGATTTCACCATGTCAAAGGATTATTTGGAATATATATATAACCCTACTTAACCCTATATTAGTGTCCCTTCCCCTTACCTTTGCTTTTTTTTTTTGGAGAAATGACCCCACTGAAAGGCCAGAAATGAAATACTATGATAATTGCAACTACTTGATTGAATCACCTGCTAACATCATCACTTAATTTAAGACAGATTAAAATCAGGACCTTCATAGCTTCAGCCTCTGCAGTTTTTTGCCTGTATCCACTTCTGTCTTCTTAAAGGCTCAAGCAATAAATTCTTTTCTCCTCCGGTGTGGTCGGGACTTCATTGCGCTAGCTCTTTAGCTGCTAAATGCTCCATTATGTTCACCAGCTATTTGGTGCTGAGCAGGTAGTGAACGGTGAGATTTTAGAGCTTTATCTCTTGAAACAGCTTCATGCTGTGGCCGAACACACAGCTGGTGAGAGCAGAGAGGGTAAAGCAGTAAAGTTGCTGACCAAAAAGTCAAAACGGACAGTAAAAAGACACTATGAACTTCCCTATAGCTGAGGGCAACTTCAGAGTCACATGATGTTTGATGACTACAAACATCACCTTTCACACACAAGTCATTTGATCCTTTAATAATAATTTTAAAAACAATGTTGATTATAGCTGCTAAAAAGAATTATTTTATGTTTTTGACACTAACTAAACAATCTGAGAAGAGAACATCAATTCAGTAGTTCCAATAAAGTATTGCAGCCATACTCGTTTTGCAGACGGCTCTTCATTGTTGGGTTCAAGTGCTGTATGTGAATGTCATGTTGACATTTTCCCTCCACTCATGTTTTCTCTGTAGATAAGGCCTTACATCCACCCTTACATCTTGTTGATCTAAGGCTTACATAGGATTAAATCAGCAAGAAAGTCATTTCTCACTAGATTGAATTTGTTTGGTGACTTTTTAATTGCCTATATTTCAGTCCCTCTCCTTGGTTCACATAGCTGCAGTCTAAACACAGCATACATTACAGCACTAACCGTCTCCTAAGTGCATTAGGAATAAACAATACAATACAGAAATGGATAAAGGAGGGTGTAAGTAATGAATAAATCAATAATTGTTGAATAAATATTATTTCACAAACTTCATGTACACTACCTTTCATTTGATTTCCTGCTGGTTCCAAACGTCTGCCTTCTGTTTCATACAATTACATTTCTTGTTTTTTTTAAAAATATTTTTAAAGATACCATCCCCCGAATCCACCAAATTTCCTCCCCGCTCACTGCTGATGTTTTCAAACTTAAATGTGAAAGTTCCAGCCTGGTGTTGAGTTTCAAAATACAAGTGAGAAAAACTGCTGGGAAACTCTGGGATTTTCCGGCACTGTGTTGTGTGTATTAACTCTTTGTATAACTGAACACATTATTTTTCCAGGCCTGTGATTCACACACAATTTCCTGTTGTAATGTAATTTGGTATCACATTTATGGAAAAACTGAATTTCCTAAACCCAATTAAAGGACCAGTGTGTAGGATTTAGTGGCATCTAGCAGTATAGTTACAGATTGCAACTCTTTCACCTCTTTCACTGGCACCCTTCCCTTCTAAGCGCAAAGGAGAAACTATGGTGGCCACAAAATGTATTTTAGGTCTTATTTTAAGTGGTTATACATTAATGAACACATAGTTATAAATATTATATTCAATTTCGGTCTATCCTCCTAAATGTTACACCCTAGAACTTTAAATATTCATCCATGATTTTCTTTATTGTCTGTGTATGTTGAACTATATTTATGTGTGTGGACAAATTTTGCATTGTGTGTTCTAGTAAACCAATTTTAAATAATTTAAAAATGATGAACCTGTTTCCCAATTAAGCACTACTCAGCTTGTAACTTCCTTCTGTTTGTTTTTTAGGATGCCTTCAACTCTGGCACTGCATACGTAACTGCTCAGGGACTACTTGTATAATGCAGAACAATTTAACATATTCAAGTCTGTGCTGTGAGAGGCGTCGGGTGGTTCAGTTTACCGCGTGCCCGCTCTGGCCCACGATCGAATCCTGCCAGAGCTCCTGACTCCCCTCTGTCTCTCCCTCTGCTGTCTCAACAATTAAATCAGTCAAGGTGAGTGGACTGCCCACTCACTTTCTTTTTCACAAAAAACTGACAAATAGATAAAAGCATAAGCTGGTATAATAGTCCACTTTATGACCCACAATGCAAACAAGTTGTCTTATAATGAAACATTTCACCTGTGTGTCAACAGTTGCCATGGAGATTTTGTGCAGATATGTGAAGCTCTGCTTAATGGTCTGACCTTACCCTTGCACTTTCTCGACTGCGCGCTTTCATGATGTTATAAACACATGGGCATAATTTATACCACAAATCAATATTTCAACAGCGGTCTATTCTCTCACCTTTCCTACAAACACATTAAACATTCCTTTAATATTGATTCAGCTCTCGATGATAGGAAGAAAACTTGTGCTTTGGTTGAAATATCTTTTCACGTTTGTTCATTGCACATCTTTTGTATTTCTTGAACTGATTGCCAAGTCTTCCAAACCCTTGAACCACCATTTACAAACCTTTCCCCTCCCCCATCTGCATTTCTCTCTCTGCCCCTTTTTGCCCCTCTGTCCTCTCTCTCTCTCTCTCTCTCTCTCTCTCTCTCTCTCTCTCTCTCTCTCTCTCTCTCTCTCCTGCAAGCTGTGTCTCTTTCCTGTGTGCTGGGGGCCAGCGGAGGGGAAGTACACAGAGAAGGAAAAGCACTCTCTGAGTTCAAGTGCACGGGCTTAAAGACACAGCTGGCTTCGACAAAGAGGAATATGGCAAGGGGAAAAGTGTCGTGGAAAGGCAGAATAATGACCTATTGACAAGGCGGTTGTGTGCGCGGGGACAGTAGAGGGATAATTTCACCAAAAAAAGGGGGGGAAATGCAAAAAATGTGAACAGGAAAACGAAGAAAAAAATGTCTCCTCCCCTTTTCCTCTCTCTCCACGTATGCTCCCTCCCACCTTTCTTTCAATCTCTGTCCCTCCCTCTCTTCTCTCCTTCATTCCTACCCTGCATGCATGCACTCACACACACACACACACACACACACACACACACACACACACACACACACACACACACACACGATGACTGATGCCTTCTCCCTCCTTCTCTTGCATTCTCGTTTTCTCTCTCTGCAGCACTGAGACTTTTGTGTGTTTGTCCTCTCTGCATAGCGTACGGTGGAACCGGTTCTGCACAGCTCCAGCAGAGCACTGTGAGGAAAAAGTACAGGATTAGTACTTTTTCCTCACAGCGTTGATATCCTTTGTCCATAGGGCATGTTTCCCTTCAAAGTCCTGAGCGTGGAAGGGGTGAAGAAAAGAGCAATGGTGTCTGAGGAAGAGGAGATGAGGCAACAGCGGATAAAATGTGACGAGACTGGAGTGAAATAGAGATGCAAGGCTGCAAGTCAAGAGGGAAGGCACTAACTCGAGAGTGAGGAAGAGAGGACAGAGAGGAGGAATCAAGTTGGAATCGGGAAAGAAACGCGGGAAAAGGTAAAAAAAAAAGGGGGCTGACTTATTCGACATAAGCTTAAATTATTATGTTAGAAAGAAAAGTAATCACATACACACATTATTCCCGTCCTTTATCATTTTCGATGTCTCTCTCCTGAATTTCTGTGTTCGGTTCTTCTATGGTTTCTGTTGGTTTTGTGTAACTAAAGTCATTTTCCTTCCTCCCACTCCCGCTGGAACATTTTTGCCTGTCTCCACGCTTCTCCCGTAATCCAGCCATGCCTTTTTTCTCCTGTATGTGCTTGACAGAATATGTGTGTTTGCTGAAAGAGTTCTTGCCAGAATTCAAGCTCGGAGTTCGTCAGAGACTGCAGTTGGTTTTTGGGCCCAGTTGTGAGGACGAAGGGGAAGGAAGAACAGGGTCTTGGCACTCACTTTTGTGCCATTATTGTGTGTGTCAATCACTGTCTTTGAGAATCTTTGACTGTTAGACACTGAATGCCTTTGGCCTAGTTTTGGTTCTTAGTTTCGGCTGATATGGAACTGTTAAAAAGATGAGACAAAGTATTTGAATTATTTGGCTATCATCCTCCCTACTCTGGAATTGACACGTCCCACCCTCTACTTCCCCTTACTGTTTGTTTGTGCTCTCAGTATGTGTCCCTGTTACTCATAACCAGACCTCATCTGTATGTCTCTCAGTGTCCACTAACACCTAACTTACTGCTCTAAATACCTTAATGCTCTGTCCCCATGCAGCTCTCACCTCATCCTGGCTGTCCTGCTTGCTCTCAGTGTTTCCTCCATTGTTTAATATCGACAAGTTGCTGTTGTCCCCGGGTGTATGTGCTTGAGGACCGGTGATATATCCTCAGTCTATCCGTGCTCTTAACAAGCTTGTCCATCGTCATGGAGACCTGATAGGAGCTTTCAGTCCCTGTTCCCCTGACTGAAACAAACTCACAAAGATACCGCGGTTCTCTCTCTGCCAGGCTGCGCCATTTGGCAGAGGGCAAAAAAAGGGTTTTCCTGATCGGTGGATTCAGAGGGTGACTGTGGTGGTTACCGTATATCTGAATGCAGGTTTAACTTGAGGCTTAATACTGGAACTGAAGTCCCAGACAGCCGACCTTGATGATTGGTGGTTGTCTTGCACCCATAGTTGGGAATTAGCAAAAGCTAGCTAGCAGAATGGGTTCATGTTAAAGACATTTGTTTTTTGGTGGAACTAGGTGAGGTAAAAAACTGGTTTATCAAACACTGACTGTGATAGTATCCATGGTCAAATACAGAGATACTCAGATGCTCACTGGGCCTCATTCATGCTAACAAATTTAATTTTGACTTGAGCATTGAGTCTTAAAGTTAAAAGATGAACTTGTCAGTCCCCTTGACCAGTGAAACTCAAGTACACCATTATGTCATTATTTATGTAACCTATTTGAGATATTATTAAGCTATTTCCATTCAGTTACACTGAAGAAAATTATATGAAATAGCATATAAAGTGCAAGTAATAACAAAATATACACAATATGCAAAATATACCAATTATATTTTCTAGACTGTTTTGGCTAAAAAGAAACAAATCAAACAGTTGATGTTGCACCAATAGCTGATATGCTGATGGTGCATGGACTATTTTCGTTATCAATTAATCTACCAATTATTTTCTTAAATAAATAAATAGATAAAAATGTCAGAACAAAATGAAGAAATGTCAATCACAATTATCCAAAGCCCAAATTGAGGTTGTCATGTTGCTTTAAATTGTTCAACTAGCAGTCTAAGACCCCAAACATTCACGTTTGAGAAGTAAGGACTAGAGATTTTTCTTTTACTAAAGAAATAACTGCTAGATAACAGGTGTGGCATACTGGCCTTGATGCCTGAGTGAGTGAGTGATGTGATGTTATCCAGCAGTGGGAGCTCGATGTGGCACTTTAACCTGCACAACTAAAAGTGGAGTCACTACAGTTATTATGTGTCCACCACACTCAACTGACTCTGTCGGTCTCCTGTGGCCTAAATACACCTGACAGTTGACAGACCTTCTTTTGGTATCAAACCACATTTTTACAAATTTACAGTTTTGTGCTGATAAAACATTAAACCCATATTTTTTTTGTATTACTTGGTCTAATGCTTGTAGAATATAGCCTGCTGATAGTTTGCATACAGCTCTGACTGCTGATTATTTGGATATTCTGTTATGCTAATGATATGCTTGCAAATATACATATGTGGTTTGTATACACTTTATGAATCAAATAGTGACCTTTTTTTATTTAAAACAGAGAATAATAAACCTTCAGTGAAGGAAGCCCACTGATTGCTATTGTGGCATTAGGACATATCATAGCAAATGAGAAGTAGAGGAGTTTAGTACATCTACAAAGCACCTCTTCTTTATAACAATACTGAATACTTTGGCAGAAATAATGGATAGCCTTGGCTATTATTGTACTGACAATGATCGTATCGGTTATTTAAAACCTCTTCAACTTGAGGCCGCCACTTACTGATCCCAGCACATCTAAACTTTAGAGTGCAGAGAAAGCCATTAATGTGTTTCACGTTATAAAACATAACTCGGCCTTCGCTATCAATTATGTAGCTCTGGTGTGAAAAGAACGGGAAAAGGGCCACACACAACAGGCAAGCGCGACCCGGCGTGGAGAGAAAGTGCTGCACCATGTGACTGCTGTGGATGTGCTAACGCTCTCTCATGGTCTGAGTGAGAGCTATTCCCCCCAGACTCAGTGTTCCAGTTGCATCAGTGTTTGTCTGCCTTCTCTAGGACATGGGCTGAAATGGGGCTGAATCTAAGAGAGCTCCATCTGGATACCCATAGGGTTTTCCTACTTCATATTCACAGTGCTGATACTGTTTCTCCTTCTCGCACACATCACAAATTTTTAAACCAGTTTGAATCTCTGACTGACTTGAGGTTCTTATATTTTGTTTCAGTTACGAGAGGTGCACTTCTTGATATTATTGTCAATTGTTGATGTCGTTGATATAGTGTGAGATATTACTACAGATGTTTATGTCTCTGTTGAGGTATTGAATTTTATACATATTTTGAATTTTGAAAAATTTACTTTTTACTCCACTACAGTACATTTATCCGACAGCTGTAGGTACTACTTAAAGGTTCTCACTAAACATATGATTATCTTGTAAAATATTATGAATTTTATAGATTAACCAACCCAATTAGCTCTACTTCTAGCAAATAGATTAACATACTCCTTACATGTTAATACATAAATAATAATAACAATACAATATCATACAAAATCTAACACTCAGAAACAATAAAATAAGAAGTACTTGATACTTGATACTAGGATATTATGTTACTAAGACTCGCAGGACTTTTAATTAAAACAATTTAATTAAACAGAATATTTTTAAAGTGAGGTATTGCAACTTTTACTTGAAGGACCAGTGTGTAAGATTTTGTGGCGTTTTAGCGGTGTAGTTTACAAACCCCTCGCCTCACAATCCAGTTCCAATCATGTGGGAGAAACTATAGTGGTCAGTCGCAAAAAATATCAAAGGCCCTATCTAGAGCCAGTGTTTGGTTTGTCCATTCTGGGCTACTGTAGAAACATGGCGGTTCAACATGGTGGACGCTGCAGAAGAAGACCCGCACAGTGTTTCTTATTTCCATGTGATTATACACTTGAACAAAATCATACCTATGAACGTTTTATTCCATTTCTGTCACTAGATCCTCCTAAATGTTACACACTGGACCTTTAAGTAGAATATCTGAATACTTTTTCCCCCACTGATGAATAATATGTTTTCACTCTTATTTTACTCACAGGACCTTGGTATTATACTCAGTATATACTATACTTGCACAACAGTTTAAAGAAGAGACTATTTGAAGTAGAGTTAAATTGATACATTCGTATATTTGCCGATATTAGCATATCACAGATATATTGTTATCAGCTTATATGTTAGCCAGTAAGTATAGCAGTAATACAGAAATGTTTGACATGGTTTAGAAAACAGAGGAGATAACTGAAAAGATTATTGAAGTTTATTTTTCAGCTGTAAAATGTCCCAGTCAGCACACAAATTAGTCGCAATTCTACAAGACCAAAAATAACTATGAGCCAAAATGTCGTGTTTTTTAGGCTCAACTTTCAATATCTGTATCAGCTTCAAAAATCCACTACATAGGGGCTAAGGCAGGTAGCACATAATTAAAATCTGGTCTCTATAAATATATACAGTATATATACATAAACTATCTAAATTATGAGTAAATACTATGGATTAAAGGCAAAGAAACCCCCCCAAAAATTGGGTTGGGTTGGGTTGTAACTTGCACTATAAGAATAGTTTCTAAAATTATAATCTAAAAAAATCTAAAAAAGTAATCTTGCATACCTTTTTGCACTGAAGTAAATATTAATGCCACTTCTCTCAGATCACACACTTCTAAATCATCTCACTCAGCTTACAGCTACAGTAGTCAAGTTTTTATGTAAATATCTTCATCTGAGATCTGTGCTGTCCTCCACCATCCAAATTCACCCTAATTGCTTCCACTCTCTTCCAGAAAGACTTGGTTCAGAAAAGCTCCATTTACATTTGCATGGATATTTTGCTCTTCTTTATCCTCTCATATCCTTCAGCATAAAGAAATCAAAGTCAAATATGAGTGTGCTGAGTGAAGTTTGCTTGCATCATGTTACATGATTTCTGGGTCTTTAAGCATTTGGTGATCAGGTGTGGAGTGAAGCTGTACCACGTTGAATAATCATGTTTGTTTCTGTTTTTCCTCCCTTTAACTGTAATGTTAGAATCTCAGCCAGTTGGTATCAATAGTTTCCTCATGCAGGGCCAGGTGGCTGCCGAGTGCATTCAGATGGAGGCAGAGGTGGCAAGGTGGGGGTTAATATTTGCAGGCTGTAGGAATGTGTTTGGAGTCAGCAGTGAGAATTCCTCAGTTCTGCATTAGTAGGTCTCAGCATTGCCTCTTACCTCTCCAAACTATCTCGATGCCCTCTTTTCCCCTCTTTCCCTGTGTCTGCCTCTTCCCTCTACCACCCTGTCTCACATTTGATCTCCTTCTTTGTCGCCATTCCTACCTTCGTCTCGTTCTTTTTCTTCCAAGTTCTGCCACAAGTTTTGATCCTCACCATCTCCCCTCTCCTCTCAGGCTCTTTAGATGTGTCACAGACATCTTAAGGGCCTCAGGAGCTGGGGGTTGGGTAAAAAGCGAGAGATACTGTGTGTGAGTGTGATGATTCTAGCACAGTGCTCTCTACTGCTGGCCTAGTGTCCTCTTCAGTACTTCAGTCATGTATGATTTATGGAGCAGGTTCCTGAGGAATGGGCTTTGTTGATGTCATCAGGCATTTTCTATTCATATCTTCTCATGAGTTAGATCAACTGCGGACCAGGAAGTAGTCACCACCTGCTCAAACAGTCACAGTCATCAGTGTCCTATCAGGAATTATGATTCAATTCAATTCAATTTTATTTGTATAGCGCCAATTCATAACAGAAGTTATCTCAGGACACTTTTCAAATAGAGCAGGTCTAGACCGAACTCTTGTCACATGTTCGGATAAAATCAGGAAAAGAGTCATAGAGACAAATTAACATCTGAATTAAAGGTGAAACAGTTCTTAAAGCGATCAATATTTTTAGGAATATACTGATTTGCTTTTCTTTTGAGAGTTAGATGTGATGATCTCATATCTGTCAGTTAAATATAACACTATATAGCCAATAGTTGGTTAGCTTAGCTTAGCACAAAGACCGGAAACAGGGAATCAACTACCCCGACTCTCCAAAAGAAACAAAAATCTTTTATACAGATTAAACACATACGTGTTAATAGGTGAGCTTTAGACGTGCTGGTAGGTACATTTTTTTACCTTTCAACTTGTTTCCAGTCTTTGTGCTAAGCTAACAGCTAGGCGTAGCTTCGTATTTGGTCCATGAGAGTGGTATTGATCTTCTCATCCAAGTCTCAGCAAGAAAGAAAATAGTGAAGTGCATTTGATTATTAAACAGTTTTTATATTCAAATAATTATTTAAATCATTCATCTAGCAAATTTGCCAAACATTTGCGGGTGTCAGCGTATCAAATTTGAGAGTTTTTCTCTTCTGTATGTTAATTGAATATCTTTAGCTTTTGTAGTTTGCTTGAACAATTATTCAGTCATTTGAAAAAATAATGCGTTAATTAGTTGTAACCCTAAAAAGTACATTAGATCAAGTGATTTTAAGTGTCACTACGTCTCCTCTGGCAACATATTGATGGCATTCACAAGGCTCTTCATTATGCTTTGCAGTGATACACATGCTCTGCAGTGGCGTCGGAGGTGTCAGCTGCCTGCGTCACACAACAACACCCTCGAGTGTGCCAGTTCTCTGGTGCCAGACAGAGAGGAGGAGAGGTGGGTACAGTGTGAAGACAAGACAGAGTGGAAAAGAAAACATGAAGGCACAAAGAAACGGGCAGAGAGATAGAGACAAGTGGGTGAAAAGGGAAGAGAGAAAGCGTCTGAGGGAGGAAAGGAGAAAAACGAGGAAGGGGAAGAGGAGGTGGAATCTTTTGTGTTCATTGTCTGTCTACTCAGTGAATCATTAGAAAATTAACCTTGTGGTTCAGGGCGCCAACAGTCACCTCCACGGCTCCTATAAGCAATAAAAAGTAATCAGTCCGATGGCGAGTTTCAACTGGTTAAAGTGAAGTGATGGTCTGTAAACATTACACATCGGTATAAGTCAACTTTTACTAGTCCAAACATACTGAAGTCAGTAGTGGAAGTAAAACCTGCCATTGCCGGCTGTTCTTTGGTCAGCGTGGGTTGTCAGGGTCGCATCTGTAAGATGAAAGAAGAGGCTGCGGTTGGTTGCTTCCACAGAGGGATGGAAAGGTCAGGAAGTGGCCCCAGCACAAACACCAGACTCATTGTTCAAGTTCAAGGTAACACTGAATGGGGTTTCATTCAGTTAGCTCAGCTCTCCGTCCTCTGATAAGTTACTGTTTTTAAAAGGGTCGTAATTAGAGGAAAACATCGCCTTTGGCTACGTCTGTCATTGGTGTCGCGCTGTTATAATTGTTAACTAATTATGTCAATTTTATTTATTTAATTAGGGTTTTTGATTGGGCAGAGTATTGCCGGCTGTTTGGCTTAAAAGAATTGGCTGTAGAGTATTTTTATTTTTTTTTAAATGTGTGTGTGTTCTTCCACGTGGCCAGTGCTCAGGTGTGTCCACTCTCTAACCTCTCAGACAATGAACAAGGTCACAGCCAGAGGGTAAGATGTCAGGGCAGCATTTCCCCTCCTCCACCTCTCGCAACCTCCCTCCCTCACTCTCTGTTGTGTCCGTTCAGTCGTCAGCTCCTCATTAACTCCTCACAGGGGATTTCCTGTTCGCCTCCTTCACTTCCCTGTTCCTGTTCAAAATGGAAAATAGCATATTAGCTCTTTTTACAAAACATGAATAATTGAACCCTTCACTGTTATTGTGCTGAATATGCAAGCTAACTGCCTTAAAGTTGTAACTACACTCTAGGAGTGAAAAAGAGTGAGCCAGCTGCAGTGCCCAACCTATGGGAAGTCTAGGCCTGCTGTAATTGATGACTTTGTGCTCTCAATGAGCACCATACAGCGTACACATATACGCGCAAACACATAATTCAGAGTCTGACTCACCCCCTTTAACAGAAAGTCAATAACAATGCAGGAATGATTAATCAGTCCCTCTCTGGCCCCTCCCTCTCTACTCACCACCTTCCACTCTCTCTTCTCAACCCCACTCACCCTCTCTCAGCTTAGTATTGATCTGAATGCATTTGCTTCCCATTTATCCGTTAGCCCCCCCCCCATCACGTAAACACTGCCACTGCATCGAGCGGTCACAAAGAACCTTTTACACAAAATTGTCTCCCGTGCACGCAAACAACACACACTCGCAAGCGCGCCCACGTGCAGCACCAGCAAACACAGCATGCACGCCATCTGATACTCTGATAGGTACCACACTGAACTGCACTGCACGGGGGGATTTGGCTTGATTATTCTGGAGTGCAAATTAGTAGAGTCCTTTTCATAGGGCAGGTGCATTATGTGTGTGTATTTGTGTTTGTATGTTGTACATACATTAGCCTAAACACAAGGCAGCCTTCTTAAAGGTTTAACTGACAGCTCATAGGACCCCCCTGCTTCCCCCCTTACCATTCTGGTTGGTGGCACACAGGTTGCCATGACACCAGACTGTTTTGTCTGCCCTTTGACCTCTTTAAGGGGTGCTGTGGTCAATCAGGCATTACATGTGAGGGGCAAATTGAAGAGAGGAGAAGGAGGGGGGGGTGCATTTCCTCTGTAAAAAATGAGGTCCAAAAGGTTCCTCTATACATCCGCTTTGTACAGAGCAGAAGGTGGGGAGCCTCCGAGAGGCTCACAGTGAAACAAAGACACATGTGCACATACAGACATGGCAGCGCTTTGCAAGGGTAAATGAACTAGGCTGGAGCTCCCAGGGGGTGGGGAGTTATTATGCTCATTGTGCAGTCGGCCAGCTAAAGCTGTTTGGCTGCTTCTTTTGAAGTTATATTTATCAAACCGGAGCAGGAGGCTTAGCACTCCAAGCTGGTGCATTGCTTTGTCCACACTGCAGAATGCATGTGTGCATTGAGATGGCTTTCAGATATCAAGATTTAAACGCCCTCAAATGTTGTGCTAAACAATCTCAGACAGGAAAAAAAGTAAGCCTGAAAGGTTTTAAGATTTTATACTACAGCGTGCCACCAGTAATGTCCTTCCCTGACACCTTGAAGGGGGGACTTAAAGCACTGAAATGATAGCGTCTAATAGAGTTATAATCCTTGTGGTAAGCAGCAAGTGTTCACAGTAAGCTTGATGTTGGTCATGTTGGGATAATTTAGTAAATATCCAAATATTTATTAATGCCATCACTCAAGAAGCAAAGCAAAACATTTGAATGTTGAGTGCATCTTTTTAAATGAGGTTAATATAATATTATTTACTCTGCAGTGTGAATTGCTCCTCCTGGTTGATATGTCAAACATTGGTTCATCTTTCATGTTATTTCATATGCTGATATTAATCGTCGGATTGAGTCCTTTGGACTGTAGATGATGTCCTGCCTATGGTGGATCTTAAATCCTTTACATTCTTTTACTAAATACTGACATTTATACACTAATAGAGTGCACACATTACAGAAAGAGCGTAAATCCTGATCTCTGTTTGCACGCCTGTCCTTTCCTCTCTCCTGTGTGTGAATAATTTGACTTTGTAGATTAGATGCTGCCTCAGTGCCAATGAGATTTAAAGATTAAAATACAGCAGCATTAAACACAGTATTCTCTTCCAGTTATTATAAAATTACTCAGAAAGTGACGGTGAAGGTTACTTTTTGGAGCTGATGCGGTTTTCCAGAGTAGCTCATGAGTAAGTCGGGAGCTTTTCATGGTTTTGTCCAGTGACACTTCAGCTGTTGCAGAGATTGAACCTGTGACCTCTTGGTTAAACAGTCTTTCTGTTCAAGAGGCCAGCTTGTTTCCATCTAACCTCTGTGTGTGTGTGTGTGTGTGTGTGTGTGTGTGTGTGTGTGTGTGTGTGTGTGTGTGTGTGTGTGTGTGTGTGTGTCTTTTCTGTGTGTGTTTCAGTCATCCTCCACTTCATGTCTGAGGAACACCTAGCACACTTTGACAAGGTAGTGATCTCAAGGTAACCATATTTTTTATACTCTACATTTCCCTTTTCCAGCCATCTACCAATTCAAACACCTGCACAGTCAGTTTTATTTGATCTGTTGTATCTGTTAATTGTTTTAACCACATTTTTAAAGCCTAACTAGCTTCAGTAAGAATAGACTATATCCATTATATTTGTTGCATTTCTTCTTACAAAGCAGCAATGTCGCTCAATATATACACTCAAATGAAATATTAGTAGATAAATAATGATTCAAACCTTTGGCAACCAATAATACAAGTTGCAGAATGTCATGAAGAGAAAAATCCACCTATTATCAGGACTTTGAGCATTCAATATTATTTTTGTGTCTTATGTATATGCAATAATGCACTGACTGAATCTCATTAATGCAATAGGATTCATGTTCAAGTGCATTTTAAAAGATGCAAACAGTTTAATGTCCAAAAGTAAATTCATACACTACCAGATATATTTTTCATTTGCAGCCTGGATCCCGTTCAAGTAAGAATAACAGTAAAAGATGCTTCATTTTTGCATTTTTGTAGGTCAGAGTGTCCTTACTCACAAAATTTGCACAATTCTCAAATGTCTCTTTGAAAGGCTTTAAGCCAAAGGACTAGCCCACACAAATAGATATATAGAGATACACACATTTGTTGACTAATTTAAGACCTCAAGTGTAATAGATATAAGGAGCATCAGGGCTTTTATCTAAAATGGATTATTCATCAACAAATTATCTCACAAGGTAATTAAAAGTGATCAAATCAGGGTTATACAAAAATTCTATAATGTTTGCACTCATCCAATTAAACAAAGCACTGTGATGCTCTAGCTGACCAGCTGTAGAAGAGCTAAGAGCCAAATGTAATTTAGAGCTGGTCTAAAATGAGATTTAATTCTAAAGTACAAAGTAGTATTATAGTATTTTTGAAGATGCAAACACATTTCAAAGTAGGTTTGCCATTGCCTTGGTGCTGCTTTATTTGGCAATCTAAGCCAACCTGTTTTTTCCTGACCAGACACCCCCAACCACCCGATCACACAACACCTCCACCACTTTAACACAGAAATTCTTTCATCATACATTTGATTGGAAACTTTGAAAGGGAGGAGCTCTGAAAGGCCAGGCACACACCAATCCCAGCATACGTAGATTGACAGTTGTGCCATAGCAACAGTTTGGCTAGTTGCCAGGCTGTTGGGGTTGCCAGGCAAAGGGTTCCCATGGCAACATTCATTTTGCCATCTTGGTATATGAGGCTGGCGTCAACCAAAGCAGATTAGTGTAGGATAGAGCATTGCTCTCACCCATGGGGGGAAAAAAACACATGCATATTTCAGCACGTCAGAGCGTTACTCTCTAAAACTACAAACACTGAAACATGTTACCCTCATTCAGAGATGTTGTATGCATTACTACAACAAAAGGCAGAGGAAGCACAGATGTTTGATATAAAAACTGGAAAGCTTTGCCACATGTTGAAAATCAGCTGGAAGTGTACATTCAGCCATGAGTATTTCCCATCCTCCCATTACCCTTGAGTTGCATCATGTTCATTTCATCACATATGGTACAAAAGCACTGAAGGTGAAATTGTCTTATTGTGCTGACCAGTGAGTCTGTGAACATTTTCAAGGACTGTAACCATTAAGTGATATCCCAATGTGTGTCACTGTGTGTGGATAATGATCAAGAATGAGAGGAATTTTGAACTTGAAGTGAGATGCCCCATTTATGAATTAACCCAGACATTTTTCATAGTGGAGTAGTCTTTCACCGCTTAGACACTCAGACAGGCTTGCTTAAGGGTGGAGTGAGCTGGAGGGAGAGTGAGAAAGATAGCTGACATTGGCACAATTACACTGCATTTCTGCGTGATTTGACTGTGAAAATATCGCAGACGTAGAGGAGAGGAGTTTGTGGGTATGAAAAAAGGCCGGCCAGCATGTGCAGATAGAGGAGGCAGGTGGGGGAGTATGAAGACAGAGGGTGGTTAAAAGGGTAAGAGGCGGGAAATGGGGACCCATGAGGGCTAAAGCAGAGAAAAGGTTGAGTGAGCGGGAGGAGAGGAAGGGAAGGGGGGGGGGCACACTTTGGGACAGGAGAGTGAAAGGGGACTGGGAGCAGCAGACAGGAGGAGGATTAGGACTCTAAACACATACCAAAAAAAGAACGGAGGAGAAAATAGGAAACAAATTCACCTGGAAACATTTTTACAGTCATACCAGCACTTTGCCTGATTGGCTAAACGGGTTTTAAAGTCAGCTATCTAGTTTCTCCTTCTCTGTGTGTGTTTTTTCTCACGGACATTGTCAATCCATGCACAGTTCAACACGAGGTCTGTCGAAAAAAGATAGGTGCGGTCAATTATCTTAACTCCTTTTCTGTATTGTAATGCTGCTTTGTTGGAAGATGGATTCCTCAAATCCCCCATGCCAAGCAGCTTTTTCATGCAGAGAATGCAGAGCTCCCACATACGGCTCTCTTTTGTCAGCCTTAAAGACTCAGGAGATGTTTTAACTTCCCTTTTTTTATATATATTTGCAATTCTGAAGTCACCTTTCTATTGATAGCATTTGTTAATATATTTCTGTTTTGTAAAGGCTCTGCTGAAACTCTTTAAACAGCATTTACATAGCATATCATCTTGCCCCAGTTACGTCTGAATCTGTGCTCAGAGTAACGTAACACTCCTGGCTCGTAGCTTTTGGAATGTAAGATTGTGCCAGCAAACGTGGTACTGTAGCATGCAATATTTACGGCTCCTACAGAGAGAATCCACGGATAAAGTTTTCGTTCAAGAGTAATTTTTTTTTACTCTGTGTGACGTGAAGGAAATTCCATTTTGACTGTAGAGCAAAAGTCACCCAGATTTAGATATCACAGCTGACAGGGGACTTAATGGTGATGACAGTGTTATGGCAGATGACATTAAACTCCCATGAAAACCTGTCAGTTATTAAGTTGAATCCGACAGCTGATTTGCGGCTGTGTGTGAATGTATGAAAGTGCAAAGCCAAAAAATCTGGTTTAATAATGACACATTAATAACTGGTGATTTTTAAATGTTTAAGAAGAAAAAAGATACATTTTAGTCATTGCTTTCCAGGATGTGATGGGATAAGAGATTGTGCGCTTTCTGTATATAACAATGTGGACAAACCATGATTGTTCATAGACGGTTTTCAGTGCCGCTCTATTGCAGAGTCTTGTGGCATTTATAGGACAAGACACGGACAAGAAGTAGAATAGGGAAGTGAGAGGGAGTTTCCACAGTCACCAGTAGAGGGCAACAGCTCCTAAGAAATGGATGGAAATAATATGAATGGACATAGGAAATGAAGCCTTTGTAGTACCCACACCTGCATGAGAGGCTTAGATGTGTGGAAATGGATTTTCGTTGTTCTGTTCCAATGTTGTCAAACTTCAGACCAACAGTTTAGTCATAGACTTAATTATTGTTGAGACGATAGTATTTTTTGTTACATGTACACCTTCCTTCTGTATATTTGATTATGTCAGCTGCCTCATCTTTGTCTTCCACTGAAATGTATCTGCATGTATACCGTTGAGACTCCTGGTGCTTGTGTATATACTTGTTCTACATAACTTGCCTCAAGGACTTTGTGCAGCCTTAAACCTGAGCTCCTGCACTGCAGCCATTCTTGCAGCATCATGGCCACAAGAATGGTAGTATAGGTGGGTCTCTGGGACCCCAAATCGCAGAGCAATCCTCCCAACACAGTCGTGAGTGCAGATTTGCTGCCTATTTCATGTTGTAGAATAGTAACACACATTTCTTCGAGAAAAAACATATAATTCAAGCTCCTCTTTTCCTCCAAATTGATCGATAAAGCCCAGTTTATTTGCCATAACCACATACACAAATAGATGTACCACCAGCTGAGCTCAATGGAAAAAAGGCAATATTTTATAATGTCAGAGAATGAAAATTTCTTTTCCCAGATCCAAGACCGGAGGGAAAAAAACAGCATGAAATCATTCATTGGCACAACAAAACATGCACAAAGGAAAATCAAAGCAGTGAATCCCTTCTGAGTCTGTATGCCTCAGTCTCAAAACTCGCTAAATGATTTAGTGAGAAGGACATTGACTATCTGAGTATATTGCTCACACTGAAAAGAAGTGAGGCAGGAGGCAACTGGCGGGCTGGTAGACTAGAGCCAGACAAGTGTATACATAGAGTATGTACACAGACACCTTCGTCCTGCTGGTGAAGATCTTTTCTGGAGAGCAGCCTACAGTCTGTGCTCTGCAGTGTGAGGTAGTTGGTTGTATGGTTTCGCATAATAAACAGCACGGAGATAACTGTACAACCTTCTAGCTTTCCCTGCGGAGTCACTTCATGCCACGTCTAATGTACCCCCAGCAGAGAGGTAAGTATGCTGTTACTCCGCCAGAGGATCTCCTAGTGGTTAATAACATGACTCGTCCTTTTCAACTGCGACGCCTTTTAGATGCTCTGCCCTTCGGGCAAAGTCCTACCTTCCCCTGCTTGAGCTGGTGTGTCATTCTGCGTGCAATGTTTGTAGCACCTGGACATGTTTGTCAGGACGACCACCTGCTGCTTGACAGGTTGTTGGTTATACACTGGCAATCAGTAGTTCCTACTGCAGCAGAAATACCTTCAAGAGAGGACGCTGGACATCCATTTTAACCAAGATCCTACTTTGAGGTCAGAGGGAGGGACTGTTCGAAACTTAGTGTGGGGAGAAGGGCTGAATTTTTTTGTATTCTTTTTTTATTTGTATTTTCTTGATATTTTTTTGCACCCTCCCTTTGGGAAAAACTGAAATATCTAATATCCCAAGACAACATATTTATGGAAAACATAAAGAAAAAGTATTAAAAGTCCTGCTGCTCCCTACTTATGACGAAAGGGTTGCTAAATAAATTCCCCAAATGACAGAAAATAAAGCCCTGATACTGAGACACGATGGTTTTCCTCTGCATATGGATAAACTGGGGCTACTACCCCCACTGACATTATATTTTTACACACACATGCTACTTCCGTGTAACCACTTTGTGCTGTTCTCTGCATTCACGCCAACACACACTATCACAATCATTTTTCCAGTTTCATTACCCCCCAACCTCCTCCCCTCACCTCCCTTCCCCCTCAGTATGTCAGACTGGTGGTTGAGACAGCAGCCATCTGCAGTGCGTTATAGCCAGCTCTCCTCCCCTCCTGGAAGTAGGGAGAAAAAGGGGGCATACATCAGAATTGTGCTGATTCGGCACTGTCAGTCGTAGCGTTCTTTATCATCCACCGCACAACACTGCTCTCCTGCCAGGAGAGACAGCTGAACGTCTGACAGTTGCAAGGTGTGTGGGGCAAGGATGATGTACTATGAGCTATCGGCCCTGCCCCCCTCTCTCTCTCTCTCTCTCTCTCTCTCTCTCTCTCATATACCAATATAGTAAAAACTGTTTATACCAGTGACCGGTTATTCTTGGCTCATTTTCCAGTATGGCTGCACCCTGTGCATATGTGAGAGCAGATTTGTTATACGGACATATTCTCATACATCCACATGCACATATGCTCTAAAAAGCAGTCATTCAAGGTTGGAACCATGAGTAAAACACCACAATCGCATCAAGGGTTCCTTGAAGCACCCTAAAAATTCTTACATCTCTCTCTGTAAAGCATGGTTTACCCTTCTTTTTCTTCTTTTTTTGTGCTTTTGTGCACATACACTACTTAACAAAAACAGGTGTGATGAGGAGTGTGATGCCCAAAAAACGATGCTGTCTCCTATCTCTCAGGATTTAACAGAGAACTAGAGCATCCCAATCCTGAGACAGACAAGGCAGACACCATTCCAGACTGATGATGTCATCCCTGTGAAGCACTCCCAGTGCTTTGTCTCTCAGTGGCACTGCAGAGTGCAGCCGCAGGCATGCACACACACTTACACACCCAGACACACACACCTGTCTGCGACATTCAGCATTTGTCACTCAGGTTCGGACACTGCTCGTGCCAAAGAGACCTGCTTTTTCTTGTTTTTTTAAGCCAAACTGGCGACCAGATAGCCACTGTCTTGCTAAGGCTCAAATGTAGTCTTCTAGCAAGAGGACAGACAGAGGAGAGCTCCTGCACTCTATAATCTATTCACAGTCAGAATCTATGTGTTGTAAATGTAAAGGAATTTGTCTTGGTGACATTAATGCGGGATCAGATAGAATATATGTGCTGCGCAAGCACATATTGCATAGGAACTCACATTCAGTGCAAAGGGACGGTGCAGAACACGCTGTACACATATCACAGCAGATAGTGTAAACACATGCAGCATGTTGTTTCTATGCAAATTTAGGTGCCATGGCATTACAGTATGATTGCAGATACGGAGGAGGATGAGAAGAGCCTGTAGTGCATCGGGGCTGTGAATAAGACAGTTATACAGAATAGGATCAAAGCAGGGAATAAATTCAGCTGTGCAGAGTATGTGTCTAGAATACCTGCTGCCAAAGTGACACAGACTCGTCTATAGGCTACATAATGAATATTCATGAGGTATTATGAATGTATAGTGTTGTGTTTTTATCCTAACCTACATTTCTGAAAGGTTGGATCCTCGTCTTGCATATTTATGAAAAAGAAGCCTCATCTGAAAGCGTTTTGGAAGAAGGTGAAGATGAGTTTGTCTCAGTTGATTCCCATCATATGTAGTTTGTCAGTTCTTGCTTTTCAGGGAGAGGGCTTTTAAAATTCTCACTAAATTCTTCTATAGATTTGTGTGCTTGTCACCGTATTTTTCTCAATTTCATACCTTTATTTTTTGTTAGCCTCTGTGTTAAGCAGCTATCCCTCAGAGACGTGTTATCACAGGCCTCAGTCACTGCTTGTTCCTTTAGGCCAAAGTGAATGTATTTTCTTTCTCTGTTTACCCTCATTTGCTCCAAATGTGTGACACATTGGTGATATTCTCTGTTGTACAACATGGTCAGAACACTTTAGGGCAGTTAATGATGCTTACACATCAAGTGTAGTGTTTATGCTCCATCTCGCTGAACAGACAGCCAATCAGTGGGTCTAAATTAGATTTACTTTCATTTCTGAATTTCCCTCAGGGCCGTATGATTCTGTTATCCAACAAACACAACTGCAACTCCCTGTCCTCTTGCAGAGTAGCACAAATATTAGAATCAAACTGCCTTTAGACATGGGGACTGACTGAGCAACCCATCAGAAATATGAAACATAGAAAAATATCAGACAAATGAAAAATATTACACAACTTTAAATATGCAAAATTGTTGCAATTTCTTTGTTTATGCATGCAACACAAAGCGTGGGTGTGCATGCAGGGTTTTTTTCCCCTCAATATTTCATTGCGATTAAACAGCCTCCATTTCAGCAACCGTCTGGATTGGTTTGGTTGTACCGAACAGCAAACTGCATATTGTCCACCTCTGATGTTAAGCTGTATAATCAAGACACATTCTTGTAATTGGCAAAGCTTTCCACGATGGCTTTATTTAGTGTGTTTGATGTCACTCCAGCTGCAATTTACAGTTGTGTTGGAGCAACACCATAAATCCTGTAATCAATTTGATGATGGTATGATTGCTGTACACATAGGAGGAGGCAGTAATGTCAGGCTCTCAGGTTCATGAGACTCCTGGGCTTCATATTTTCTCTCTATTCTCATCCTATTAGAGATTCTGACCCTCCCCCTCCATCCCCACTTTCTGCTAGCCTCTCTGCCACCCTACCTCCCTCCCCCCACCATCTCCCTCTCTCTCACACACACACACACACTCTTCCTCTCTTTCATAGACACACACACACACATACAAACACACATACATGCACTGACTGCACTCTTATTCACTCTCTCTTTCCATCTCTTTCACATTCACACACATAGCTTGCAGACTGGATTGTGTGGTAGTGTGTGTGTGTGTGTGTGTTGGGGGGTGGGGGGTGGTGGGGGTAACTGAGCCAGTAGAGACGAGAGACTCGAAAAACGTGAGAGGGAAAAGAGGGAGATGGAAGGATGACGACTAGAGAGTCTAAAAGAGGGAGAGAGAAAGGAAAAGAAGACACTTTGAGGTACAACGAAAGCAAAGGGAGACGACTAGAGACCATGAATGCAGCACGGAGGGTAAATGAGTGTGTATGTGTGTGTGTGTGTGTGTGTGTGTGTGTCATCTGTAAGTGTTGGATAGCATGTGCAGGGGGAGGTTTCGTGTGTAAGAAGGCATGTGAACGCACAAGTAAGCAAGCTTTTTTTCTCTTCTTTATTTTTCCCTTGTTTGCAGCTCTGTGCGTTTGCGACGGCAGCCCTGCAGAGACAAAAGGTGAGGAGCTGTATGGATGTAAGTCAGGTAGGTAGCTAGAGAGCAGAATAATGGAATCAATACTATTGTCTGTAACCTACCTGCCGCTGGGCTCTCTGTCTGGCCCCGGCATAGACCATCAGAGAGGGAGAGAGAGAGCTAAGAGGAAACAGGCTCACTCTGACTGGGAAAGAAAAGGAAAGAAGAGGCTGGCTGTAAAGGTGATTGTCTTTTCTTTTTTTTTACATTTTCACTCACAAAGTAAATGTAGATTAAGGATTGTATGTTTATTTTTTAGGGAGAGATTGCATGCATTTTTATCTGAAACTTTTTTATCACTAATTCTTCACATCTTTTCCTTTGGCAGTCATGTTGTATGTGCATGCATGTATGCTCTCTTCTAGCTGTATTTATATTTGTAGTGTAAATGTGACATTCTGTCTGTGTTTGCACACATTGAAAAGGCTTTCAATTAGTGTATAGGCTGCATGTTGTCGACAGGTCACGTCTGCGTTTTGTGTTTGATTTGCGGCTTGTTATAATTCTCACTTTCCTTAAACACCTCATTTGTAAATCTGATGATGAAAAAAATACGCCTGAACCTCGTAATGATCATATTCAGGCAGGTAAATTAGTAAAATTGAAGGAATTTTAATGTTATGACTGGCAGTGTAGTACAATATGCATTCACACCTGACTCAATTATGAATGTGTTCACACAGTAATTTCCATCTCTGTTGTGCATAATTAATTCACAGTTTTATTGATACTGACATGAATGTATTTTAAACAAACCTAAAAAAGCAACCTCTGCTGCAGACAAATTCATAATTCATTTCTATCTGTTTGTCTATTTGTAAGTTATGACAAATGTCTACTATTCCCTCTTGTCTGATCCAGCTGCCATGTCTGTCACATGCGACATTAACTGAGACAATCTCAAAATCACACCTCTGTATTCCAAAATCTTGAGGCCTGCAGCTCATGAAGTCGACCTGTAGGTAAAACCTAATGTGCATTAATGCAGTTCAGTTTGATGCAGGTTGTGACGCAGGCACTTTGAAACCCTTTTTCACATTGACACGGAGGTGTTTTACATGATAAAATCTTGCTGCCCTGACATAAAATGTGCTAATTTCCCTTTCCTACAGCATATGAACATATTCAGTCTTCCCCAGTCAGTATGTGTCATTCTGTCTGTCTACCAGTGGGTGGCGTTGGCTTGTAATATTTCTACGCAATACATTTTTCTTTCTCTCACCACCAGAAAATTTTACATTGATATGTTGGATTTATGAAAAATTACAGTTTGATATTGTTGCAGTTTGACAGAGTGTCATTACATCACGTAATTTACAGGTGGATTAATGTCTTATACCCTCCCCCCTCCTGTCTTCGTAATCATCGAAAACTAGTTATATCGTAACCGGTGAGTCAGATCCTGTCTTGCTCTAAATATTGGACTGAAACAATATTGTATGACAAGGTAATAATAAACATTTGGTCTGTATATAACTGTAAATTCATCTAGACTGTAACTCTGTTTAAATTGTCTTACCCAGACAGTCATACCTCAGCAATTATGAGTAAATTACCCCTTCTATGACACATAAGTTATGATTTAGGCAAAGATTCTGCTATTTATGTGTCTTACATAGAGTAAAGAGTTAGGGCGGTTATTAAGAACGAAAGAAAAATGTCCCTTTCTTTGAGGAGTAAGTTATGTTCTAGACTGTAACTCTGCCACTAATGTTTCATACGTACTTATGACGCTGATTTTTAAAGCCCTTTCGGCTCATTGATCTCCGAACAGCTAGGTGACACCATAATTTGTCAGCGCTAGCTCAATAAATCAAATGTTCAAAATGCACAAGACATTTAACAACAGTTTGAAATTAATCTCCTAAATGAATTGTGTCTCCTCCACAACGTGCTCAACTGCTGCACTGCTGACATTATTTGAGCCTTTCTGTGAAATGTTACTTTGCTTGTCATTGCTGCACTATGAGGTACAAGACTAATGTGGATGAAATGTAGACAAATATGGGATTATCGTGTTTTACTTGAACTGATCAGTTTTGCCTCTGTTCTGCAGCAAACCAGGAGAGCGGTCGGTGCCGCAGAATCCAAATGTCAGATGAGGTCATGTCTTTGTCTCGGTGCAGCGACTCTGCGGCTCTTTCTTTCAATACGTTTCATCTCAGCGTTGTTTTTCTGTAGCTTACATTAAACTGCTAATTTTAAGATTTTAAATTGCTCCGTATTTAAACCCTTCCTGTGTATTTTAATTTCACAGTATGCCCCTCTGTCCCTGAGACCCTTAACCTGTGAGGTCAAAGCAGGTCACAGGTGAGGTCCTCGGGAACAGGGCTGCATTCAGTTTCAACGTCCTAGAAAAAAGGAGCATTTTGTAAAAACATTATTACTGAAAGTCATGTTTTAATGTTTGACGTGTCCTTTGATATTCTCACCATCCTTCAAAACTATTTTAAACACAAGAAAACTCACATTTTCTTCTGCCTCTAATGTCTCCAGCTGTCTGTTCCTTCAGTATATGTTTACCTGTCATGTCATGATCAAGAGTTGTCAGGTTGTACAAGAAGAAGAAGATCCCTCCTCCCTACAGCACAGACACTCTCAGGGGGCCAACGCTATTGGCTGGCTTTGTGTTATATCCCTCAATGGGGGCCAATAGGAAGACAGCCAAGGGTTGTGACCCCGTCATTTATGTCAACTACAAAAATCCGTGGAGTTATTGGTACATCGTGTGCATGTTTCTGCACTTCTACTACTTTGTACTGGAAAAGTATATCTGTGTTTTATGTATGGTAATAAAATATGTCAAGAAAAAGTTGTTGTTATGTGTGATTTCATGAAAAAAAATGTGTCTCATCCCTAAAAACACACAGATGTTAAACATGCGATCTAGACGGAGCAAAATGGCTCAATTTTTACACGAAGCAGCGGTTTCTTGAATATAAAGTGACAACATCTTGCGAAGATGATTCCCTTTTCTCATTTGTGAAGTGAAAACCATCTTCCACAGAAATAAAGCTGTAAATGAGCAGATTTTATGCTCTTATAAATGCTCTGGACGTGCATTAACATGTCACAACACATGCTCGATGCAAACAGACACAATTAAATGCACTCCAACACACAAACAAACACATACATATCTGGGATTTTTCGTGTCTGACCAGCCTGACAATCTAACTGACTTTGGCAGTCCTAGAGCTGACTCTTCCCTAATATTGATTGGCTTGTCTGTGTGGAGACAGATGAATGCATTAGTACCCAGCTCACCCTGCCACTGAAAATATATTAAGTTCATGTATTAGGCACCCTGTCTGGTTGCCATGGAGATGCACCAGGAGTGAGGGACCAGGGAGGAGAGGGGGTGGGGGGAGGAGGAGGATGGGAGACAAGCGGGGGATACAGGATGTGATGAGGCAGTCGACTTGATTTGTAGTCCCGCTCCCTCTTCCTCTTTCTCTGCCTCTCTCTGTCACTTGTGTCCTCTCTTACCTCTTGCACCTGCTTTCCCCTTTGCTTTTCCTCTCCTCTTTGTCTCTCATCACTTCATTTTCTTGTTTCTCGAACATTCTTTTACTGATACTTTTTGAATTTTCTAAACTCCACCGACTAGAATATACATTTTCTCGTTGATCACTATTGTATTGATTTTGTTGACCCTTTTGTTCCCTTTTTTTGGCTTTCGTTCTCCATCTCGCCATCTCCACACCAACCGTTCGACTTTTATTCTTTGTCTATTTCTTGCCGACATGCTTTCCACTTTATCCCTCTATACGTACATAAGCATTTAACTCCCTCTTCATCTGCCCCTCTCCCCCCCATGCCGCCGCCTCCCTCCTTGGCTCGCTCCATCTCTGTGCTCTGCAGTAAAACTGGTGCATTGAGGCAGCAGGAAATGGGGACTAGAGACAATAGAATGGAGGGAATTGTAGAGGGAGTCTGTGATGCTCTCTTCTCAAACCCAAGCATGTTGAGGCAATATAAGCAGGCTACTTTCAAAATCCTTTTATATGGGATATACACACATAAAAATCCATATTCATGGAATTGATTTTTCAAGCATCTCCTGGAATATAAACCTTGGAATTGTAGTCACTATGAGACCAGGATTTGAATAAAAACTGTTAGTACAGAAACCCTTTGTTTAAGTTTGATGCCTGTGCTGAAAGATGTGCACATCTGCTCTGTGGCTCGTGTGCGTTAGCTTGCTGTTCAGCACCTCTCTAAGCTGCTATCAGTGCTTCGTTGATGTGCAAGACAGTCTTCGCCTGTGTTGGGGTCACGTTTTGACTGAATACAATGTTAGAAATATTGACACCTGCTTCAAGAAGCTGGACCGGATATTCAACTACCACGAGGGAGTAATTGAAGCTGGAAGAGTAGGTGCGGAAAACTATCTTTTATTATTATTTTCTTATAATGTTTTAGAGTTTTTTCTTCAAGGCAAATGTAATAAAATGCATTCGAATAGTAATTCAGCTCGAAAAAACAATTAGTGATAGCATGTGTAGGTGTATACAGTGAAAAAGTTGATTTATACCTGTCTGATATTTGTCCTTTTTCAAGGTGAAGGCTATGAGAAACAGCTGAAAGAAATTCTGAATGCAGAGATTCTGCCCATGGTAGAAGAGTTTGACAAAAAGCAGAATAAGGGTAGCTAAACACCTGCTCTGATAGACACATAACCGCACAAATAAATGAGTCTTTAGAGCGTCAGAATTGTTAAGTAAGGTCAGAAATGGATGGGGGGGGGGGGTTAGAAATGAAAAATTTCAAAATGATGCCCTGAAGCACACAATTCACCAGGATGTGTTGAGCCAAATATTTCTGTCTTCCTCCTCCTCCTCCTCCTTTCCATCCATCAGACACGGTGTATGAGGAAAGGTTGCAGACAGCAGCAGACAATTTCATCGCAGCTGCCTTCAAACTGCCTAGAGGTGAGACATGGTCTCTTTCCCTTTTCCTTCATCTTTTCATCTAAGGCCCACATTAGGTCATTACAGCTCCCTCTGATCTCTGTACTCGCTCTGTAATAAGATAGTTAGGTTATTACAGCCTTTCAAATATTTTGGAGAATAAAGGAAGCCGTCAGGTTGAACTGATTCATACTGGTTGGCACTAAATCATCTGTTCTAAATAAAATTCTTTTTAAATTGAGTATAATCATACTAATACTAAAGTTAACTATCTTTGTTTTCGCAGTCTCTGGATGTTTCCCTCCATGCGGTTAGTGTCTTTATTTATTTGTGTGTCTTCAATATCATTTCAATTTTTAGAAATATAATATCTTAATCCATTTATCAGTATTAGTTTCATGCACCCATCAGGTTTCCAGAGTGCAGGTGCCGTGTACAATTGTATTACATGCCAGTATGACTCCTGCCAATTCCCTCTTGACTGTCCAGGTAAGCATTGCTAATCTGTCCAACATATTGGATACCGTTACATCACAGTTTTTTTTTTACATAAAAGGTGCACTAATCCAGACTTGACACATTCTTACATAACTATATTTTCACCTTTATAAGCATCCACTCTTGATCCTTAAAATGCTTTGCTTTTGATCCTTGAAATGCTCTTAGCAGAAAGTCGGGATTTGAAAAAGAGACCAAGGCAAGGTTTTATTTCCACACATTATATCTTTTGCACAGAACCCCCAAGGTACTCTTTAAGTCCTTGGCTTCTTTATGCAAGGTGACAGTTGACTCCCACACGCGATGGTGTTCGTATCAACCCTGTACAGCACAGCCACTGTTTAGCATATCATCACTTTTACTCCACTCCTCAGAGACTGGGCTTAAGTATTATCATTAAGGAGGGCTCAGACTGCAAGAGCTGCCCCCCTGTGAATGTTATCAGTAGTGTGTGTGTGTGTGTGTGTGTGTGTGTGTGTGTGTGTGTGTGTGTGCCTGTGTGCATGTGGGTGGCTATATGTTTATTTCAGTTAAAGAAATTAAAGTAACAGAGAACAGCAGGAGCCAAATGTGGTGCGACGTGCCATTTCACTTACCAACCGATATCGAGGTGATCTGGAGGTTTGCTGAAGAGGTATGCTTGGTGTATGGTGAACCACTGCAATGCCTTTAAAGGGATAGTTAATTTTGGGAAATACAGATGTTGGCTTTGTTGCCAAGAGTTAGATAAGAAAATTCATGCCACTATCATGTCTGTCAAATGAAGCTGAAGCAGTTTTCTTAGGTAAGCATAAAGTCTGGAGGCAGGAGGAAACAGCTAGACGGACTTAGACTAAAAAAATAAAAAATCTGCCAACCAGTAACAGGGTTTGTACAGAATGTGACTCCACTTGTCAAATATTTATTAGTGTGTGTTTATTGGCTCATGGGTTCCCTCTCTCGGTTAATCCTGTTGTTACTTCTCAGGTTGTTGAGTTCATAAATGTAGCAAATTTATATCAAAATGTCTTCTGTATGAACACCTTGGTGTTGTGATTCTCTGAGATGCAACAACAAAGCATGATGAGTGGATGCAAAACATTTCACAGTGCTAAACTGGTCATATATCATAAAATAACACGCTCTGTAAACAAGCTGGCTAATCTTGTACTAAAATAACTTGTTGATCTTTTATGTAAGTGCTGTGTCTTAGCCAATCGTAGTAAGCCACCTATATGGCAGACTAGTACATGAAATATGTTCCTTCCCAGACAATATATGGAGCACAGAACACACAACACAGGGTCTCATTTCTTTAATTTCTAAAAACAACTAGTTGTGGTTTTATGGGAGTTTTATAAGGAACTATTTATTTGCTACGTGCAGTGACTTACCTGAAATCTTTGTGCCAGGCAACCAGCAGGGACTGCAGGAATTCACTGCAAAGAAATATTCTAGCTCATAACTCTCAATAAAACCACAAAATTGCCATTTTTAAACTTAAGTTTTTGTGTGGTTTAAACAAACAAGATCTAACAGGTTAATTAGTAAGCTTTAGAGGTGCTGGTAGGTGGATTTTTGTTACCTTTGGAAAAAAAGCTAGGCTAGCTGTTTCCCCCCTTTTTAAGTCTTATGATATGTGTAGCTAACTGGATGCTGACTGCTTGTATCAGTGTGAAAGTGGCATCAATCTCTTCATCTAGCTTTTGGCAAGGAAATTAAAAAGCAAACTATTCCTTTAACAGTACTTTTTTCGGTCTTTGCATCTGTGCAGATCAGCATACATGATTGCTGTCATCATAAGAATTTCTTCCTGGACAGGTGAAAACCCAGCAGGTGGATCAGTTTAAAGAAGTGACCGCGGGGGTGGATCCGCTCTATTCCATCCCTTCAGCCAGATTGCAACATCAGGGTACCTACCAGTGTGAAATCTACTCGGGCCAGCGCTCCATTGTCAGACTATACTATTATCTCACAGGTAGCAAGATAAACCACTTTTAGGAGAAAGATTTGGAAATTGTGATTGATACCAATCAATGGGATTATATTATACCGTGACACAAAATAAATATACAAAAAAGCATTTGTGTTGATAATTTTAATGTTTGAAGGAATGTAGAAAAAAATATATCTGATTGATATATTTTGACCATTATTTTTGGTTGATGAAATACAGTGTGTTTTCTATGGGTACAATTTTATTTTATTTACATCATTAGATATAAATAAATGTCTTATGTCTTGTGAGATAATGGATACAACAGATGAATAATATTTACTCAAAATATTAACTTCTTTAAAAGTAATTACATGAATTGGAGACTGTATATATATACCAGTATATATAAAATATACTATATGCCGGTATATGTATATATAAATATATGAAATGCTTGAAAATGTCTTTTCTTTTTCTTTGTATAAGCTGGATAATGCCCTTTAAGGACAGTTCTGGCCTCCACGTTGTCCATTAATTCCTGATAATGGACACCTTGGTGGGCATTATCCCTTAAATACACATATATATGCATATTCATACAGAGGCATGTAATGTAAGCATGTATGTATGAGTACATTTGTATCTCCTGATTAAAACCTTTTCAAATATATTTGCACTAAGATTTCTTAGGAAACTATGTAACTTCAGAACAGTGATTTTACTTTCGTACTCTCCCTGTTCCTTCACCATTATCTTTTACTTTGTGTCCTTAATGTAAGTTCAAATGCTCCCCTCTATTCTTTCTCTTCATCTCTTTCTCTCTCTCAGTGACCCCCCAGGTTGTGGCAGGCCACACAGAGCTTCAGGAGATATTCGACCTGTCTCTGCTCCCAGGAGGGCGGTTACTCCCTGCGCTTGGTGGTCCTCCCCACTCCCTCCTCCCCCTCCCCTCACCACCGCTTCTCATCGCCTGTTTAACTGCTTTGCTTCTGCTGCTATTCCTTTCCCTGGGGTAAAACAAACCTATTATTTGCACAATATGAGATGTGAACAGCAAAGAAACTTATATTATAAATGCACTCCTTTCCTGTGAATTCAAGGCGCCTGTAGCCAAGGCATATTCAGTATATCAGCTGCTATCATATCTCCCCACTTTTCTTCTTTTTTTTTTTTTACTATTGCAGGACTCTGTATTGGTCATCAATACCAGAGCAAACAAGTTACGCTGAACAAGCAGATGAAGATTTAGGATTCTGAGAGTTGGGAAGATGCATGTAGTGCATTAAAGGAATTTCATTAATCCTCTGGTTTTCTACAGCGTTACGTCATAGCTTACAGTAAGCCTGTGTGTGACTCCTTCCACCACTGGAGGGCAGGATGCACATCTTTATCAGCGGTATCAGTCTACACTGTGCTCTATGCAACAACCATTTATTCTCATTTGTGCCAGCCAGTGATGGAAAGTATAGGTTTGCTCTCTTACTTTAAGTACAATTTTTAGGTACCTTGCTTTGACTTATTTTAATTTTATGGAACTTTATACTTCTACTCAAGAGAGAAATATTGTAATTTTTATTCCACTACATCCTGTGACAGCTATAGTTACTTCTTACTTTGCATATTTAGACATGATATACAAAACATATGAAGAGCTTATAAAATATGAAGCAGCATGTAGAATAAACTGCCAACAGTATATTATGCAGCAGTATAGATATGCTGCATCACAATTCAGTTAAAGGACAATTCCGGCGCAAAATGAACCTGGGGTTAATAACACATGTGTACCGAGTTGGTCTGTTCTCTGGGATATGTTTTCATGCTAATCGACCCGTGACCAGTTTTAGCACAAACCACTAATTAGCTTATAACGCTAGTCGACGGGGCACCGAGTAACGTGAAAAGAAATTGCTTTTTATACCACTAACAAGACTCAAAATAGCACCACACTTACACGGTAGCATAATGAGGGTCCCTATGTATAAACCGAAGCATTGAGAACTTTGAAAGTGCACAGACAGTTTATTAAAAAGATAGTTTAGAACAACAGTAGCGTTCGCATATACAGGCGGGCGCCATCTTGGGAAAACAGTCAGGGGTTAGGTCATTCATGCAGATCAATGATCAAGACTTACAGCTGGCGATGTGAACTAAAACAAACGTAATTTGCTCAATATATCAGAAATAAAAGCACCGATGTAAAACACGACTTGTCTATTGTACTTACTCAGCGGATAACTGTCCATCTGGTCCCTCCGGTATGAGTCGCTGCGGCGTGTGTTGCGGCATTGACTACCGGTAGCTCTCTCGCTCTCTCGTAGCCTTTCACGGAGCTCCCGCCGCTCTTTGTCTGTGCTTTCTTCCGGCAACAACGTTTCACGCAAGATTCACTTCACATCTCCGTGGAAACGTTGTTGCCGGAAGAAAGCACTGAGCGCAACAGAGACTAGTGCTTCCACAGGATACACACTAAAGAGATGGCGGATTATTCAACTGAATTTGAAGACATCAATAACGAACCCTTTCAGTTTGATGGACGTCCTTATCTTTTCGAGCCGGAATATACAGACGAAGAGCTGTGGGAGCTCTGTGAAAGGGCTACGAGAGAGAGAGAATTGCGCCGGAATTGTCCTTTAAGCCATAAGCAATAATGATATTATCATTCTCTAAATAAATCTAACACTCTAAAAGGAACCATTTTGCATTATGACACTTAAACTTCTGATGGTTCATAACTTATCAAAAGTATTATAGTAAAGTAAGTATTCGTTATGCAGTAACCCTTTTTAGAGCCTTAGGTTTACAACCCTTCTGTATTTTTATGTTATAAGGTTGCTGCTTTTACTTAAGTAAATGGTCTATATACTTCCACTAATTGATTAAATAAAGATTAAATGAAATGCTGTGTTTAGTTTTCCACAATAAATGTGAAAATATCAGTTGTCCCATTACTATTACATTTGAAATTATCCTCAAAACAAATGTAGTTTTAGTTTTAACAACACTACGTGGATAATGTTACTTTTGTTTATCACCACCAAGAGTGTGTCAGTTCTTTTCTATGGCTGTCCTTGTACTGATATTTACTGTAAGGGGGGGGGCTAAAGAAGGGTTTGGTGACTGCTTTGACAGCTCTGGAGGACAGAGGAGTAATGTTATAGAGCTAAAATGAACTGATCTGGTGGGGCAATAACATTGATGATGCTGGGTTATATTATATGCTGTTGGGCTCCGGTATGGGTAAAGGGTTACAAAGGTATCGAGCACAGTGAAAGACTGCTTTGTATACAGGAAGGGTGTAGTGCATTTTGGCAGGAGGTGTGTGGAAATATCATAATGGAAGGACACCAGTAGTAGAAGAAGTGAGAGACAATGAGTGAACATCAAGCCTTCAGTCAGAACAACAAGCAGAGCTGTGATGAAACGGGAGGATGAGGTGAAACTTAGGTGAGGATTGTGGACTAGGTTGCACTTTTAATTTAACCTGAATAAATAGTGCTGGCTTATGGACCAAAGTCAAATTTCAAAGAAGACTACAATGTAAAAAAAAACATCTGATGGCCTGTGTGTGCGGATTCAGCTGGCAGAAACGGTCAAGCCCACAGGTGACCACAAGGAGGAAGCAACACTGCACCTCATGGCAGAAAGCATGAGAAGATGAAGATCAATCATACTGTACACTGACACTGACTCTGCATTGAACTTTACTGTTACATTTACAGTGTGTCACATCAGGGCTGTTTGGTTGCTAAAACGAAAGACACATTGCCCCAAAACAAATCTGAATCACATGAGAGGATGGGGAAGTACTTGCAAAGATGATTTTTACTAAAAGTGTGATCCTGTAGTCATACTGGGTTTTTTTGTTTTTTTCTAACATTAGTTCTTAGATTGAACCCTTCAAAGGCCAATGCCTCGCCCAAACCCCTCTGATGTCAGGGTCTGCCTTTGTGGTCTGAGTGATTGGCAAAAGTCATTAAGCATTAGATAACAGGTTCTACTTGCCCTTTTGTACTCTGATCAGTGACCTGAAAACACTTCTTAAGGTGGAAAAATGGCACAAAAATATCACTGTAAACCTTTTGTGACTCCAAAAGGCAACAAGTACTTTGTTTAGTGATTGTATACTTTGCTTCCCCTTCAGAAAAGGAGTGACAGGCTAAACCTGGTTGCTACAGGTCAGTCTGACTTACACTCACAAACTCATGTAGTACACAGGATCACATTTATTCACAAAGACAAGTTCATAATCAACATCTGGAATCCGAGAAGTGGCAAAAGTCACTGAAAGGTTATCAGATAAATCAAAAGAAAAGGTGAGTACATAAACAAATAATACAAAAATATATATTTCCCTTTTCTTTACATTTTCTTTCTATCAGTTGAAAAAATGAATAATAATTGTATATTACTCTCACAAATCATTTTTCTACATTTTCCATTTTCATTGTTGCACTGACATTTACATGATACTACTACTACAGAAGAAGAACACACAGAATACTAAATTCATACAAATGGAACAGTCTAAGTCTAATATCGTATTTATTGTAGCGCTGTTGGATAGTATTGCATTACACTGTACAGAGGTTTATTGTTCATCATTAAAGCCTCATATAGATAACATGCAGAGATAAGATACAGTGCTCGTTAACTTTTACAGAGGAGTGATAGAAATCCATGGAAACTTTACAAACTGGCATGGGATATACACAGCCCAGGACAGTAGGGCCCTGCAGAGGCTGATTGAAACCACCCAGAACATCACTGGTACCCTGTTCAGCCTGTTCAGCCAGCTACCATCTGGTAAACGACACAGAAGTGCACTCCATCATGTAAAATCATTTAAGTCTTTAGTTTTTTCTTTATTCACCTATTTACTGTATTTGATTTTCTGAGTTTAGCATACGTTCAATCAAGCCTATCTTTATGCTCATTTATTCAACACAACTCTCTCTCTGCAGTTGTCATTAATCAGCTGACTATGGGCGTTCACTCTTCATTGCTGCCAAACTTTGAATCTATTCTCCTGTCATTTCAGTGTGAAGTCTTTGTGACCCTCCTCCTCTCCATTCGCCTCCAGTTCATCACCTCCAGTGCCCAGTCTGCTCCTCGTCACATCCAGATCTTCAGTCGTTCTCTTCATCCCTTCACCAGCACTAGTGTCCATCAGGGGGCTTTCATTTTCAATATGATGATTATTCTGCTCAGTCACACCTTATCTCCATGTCTTTGAAGTTGCAAAGTAAAATTTAGCTTCACTTAAAAGTGAAAGTCAGTCAGTAAGTCCCAAAAGAGGGAAGGGAACAGCGTGTTTAAAACTTAAACACATTAATAACCAGCAAATTAGTCAAAGTAAACAATCATCTTACTGACAAATGCTCTGATACAAAGTGTTTGACTTTTTTATTAATAGTCACATGGTTGCTAAGAACCTCCTGTTTTATTCTGATAACCGCAGGGAAACAGACTGTTACTGTGGTTGGTGGTTCCAGGTACAAGAAGGAGATATTGGACAACTCAGGCACAGTCTGCTCTTTTGTGCATCACCTCACACCAATACCAGACTTCTGCTGGGAACCACAGCACCCAAGCTGGAAGACCATGTGATGAAGAATCCAAAATATGTACCAGACAAAGCTGTATCTGGGATTTTGACCATCCACTCAACATGTTGGTTGTTAATAATGTTTGTAGTTGAGAATCAAAGTAACAACACTGTAGCATTATACAGTACATGATGTAACACAGATTGAATCTGAGTTTCTGATGTTAAATGATACAAAAATATATATTTCCCTTTTCTTTCCATTTTCTTTCTATCTGTTCAAAAATGAATAATAATTGTATATTACTCTCACAAATCATTTCTCTACATTTTCCATTTTCATTGTTGCATTTACACAATACTACTACTACAGAAGAATAACACACAGAATACTAAATTAAATACAAATGGAACAGTCTAAGTTTAATATAGTAGTTATTGTAGCGCTGTTGGATAGTATTGCATTACACTGTACAAAGGTTTATGGTCAGGACTGGGAGTATGGCTATGTGTTTGAGTAAACACTTTACACATTTTGTGACAGAAATATAACTTCTAATGTGCTCTAAAAATAACAGGTTCTGTCTTTTCTTTTTGTTCATCATTAAAGCCTCATATAGATAACATGCAGAGATAAGATACAGTGCTCATTAACTTTTACAGAGGAGTGATAGAAATCCATAGAAACGTCACAAACTGGCATGAGATATACACAGCCCAGGACAGTAGGGCCCTGCAGAGGCTGATTGAAACCACCCAGAACATCACTGGTACCCTTTTCAGCTACCATCTGGTAAACGACACAGAAGTGCACTCCATCATGTAAAATCATTTTAGTTTTTAGTTTAGTTTTTTCTTTATTATCCTATTTACTGTATTTGATTTTTTGAGTTTAGCATATGTTCAATCAAGCCTATCTTTATGCTCATTTATTCAACACAACTCTCTCTCTGCAGTTGTCATTAATCAGCTGACTATGGGCGTTCACTCTTCATTGCTGCCAAACTTTGAATCTATTCTCCTGTCATTTCAGTGTGAAGTCTTTGTGACCCTCCTCCTCTTCATTCGCCAGTCACACCTTATCTCCATGTCTTTGAAGTTGCAAAGTAAAATTTTGCTTCACTTAAAAGTGAGATCACATGGACAACAGTCAGTAAGATCCAAAAGAGGGAAGGGAACAGCGTGTTTAAAACTTAAGCACATTAATAACCAGCAAATTAGTCAAAGTAAACAATCATGTTACTGACAAATGCTCTGATACAAAGTGTTTGACTTTCTTATTAATAGTCACATGGTTGCTAAGAACCTCCTGTTTTATTCTGATAACCGCAGAGCAACAGACTGTTACTGTGGTTGGTGGTTCCAGGTACAAGAAGGAGATATTGGACAACTCAGGCACAGTCTGCTCTTTTGTGCATCACCTCACACCAATACCAGACTTCTGCTGGGAACCACAGCACCCAAGCTGGAAGACCATGTGATGAAGAATCCAAAATATGTACCAGACAAAGCTGTATCTGGGATTTTGACCGGCCGCTCAACATGTTGGTTGTTAATAATGTTTGTAGTTGAGAATCAAAGTAACAACACTGTAGCATTATACAGTACATTATGTAACACAGATTGAATCTGAGTTTCTCTTTTCAACTCATTTTGCATGTTAACCTTCAAATTATTATCTTGACTTGTGATAACGTTAGAAACTCTATGCTCTTTGTTGACCTCTGCAACTGTGAGAGGTCACTGACATGATTACCACACTAATACTTTATCAATGCAGGTCTGTTCTAGGTTCCACCATTGATGGGCATATTAATAATAGAATTACTAAAAGCCATTACACCTTAAGACAATGTCTGAGTGTTTGTTCTTTGTGTTTCAGAATCAGTATCAGAATCAGGAATACTATAATAATCCCATGGGTAAATTATTATTATTTAATTATTTTCCTTTCATTGTTTCATTTTGGGGATAAGTATTTATGTTAATAACTCATATTTTATGCTTCAATAGTCCTTGTTTGCAACAAAAAGATGTTGGAAACAAAAAAAGCTGAATTCATTCTAATTTATTTAATTTATCTACATATTTAAATAAATTACCTGACAACAAAACTTTTTAAAAATTATTTTAATATATTAGAATCTTTCCTTTACCTCTGACTTCCAAATCTTCTCTAATAGTCCTACTCCCTAAGTCACTACAGGGGGTTTATGTTTTTGAGAACCCTGTTTTGTATCAGATGAAACTAGATGAAGAGTATGACATTTTTACATTGTTAGAATCTGTTTTCCTATAAAATAGTTAAAATAGCTAAAATTACAGTTCTGCTGACCATTTGAGAAACCCGCAGTAAGTCTCCCCAAATGAATGATGTCTTTCCGGTGGAGAAAACACAATATGAGGACTGACTGGGATGTGCGAATCTTATAAAGCACTCAGAGAGTTTCTAAATATAGTCAGACATGACTCAACACTTAACTTGTCATTTAATGGGCAGATTGCTTGTGTTTTTTCCCACTAGGCTGCTCATTTCCAAGGCAACCAATGATGCATTGTGACAAGCCTTTACAGCAGGAAATGTAAACTATATGGATGTGAAATGTTATGTGTTTGTATTTTTGTTTTACTCTGGATTATATTAGCCCTCTAGGCCCTAGCTGCTTCTAGACTTTTAGTCTTTCATGTGTTTTCCCTCTTTTGGACCCCAACTCACTCTCCCTATCTAAATGGTTAATAGGCAACTGAGAGGAGTGCCCGTGAGGTTGAAAGAATCATTATGGTTTTACGTCAAAAAAACTCCTTCAGCAGATCTCACTGTTGACAGAGCCATAAATATCTCCTTTCTTTCAGAATCTTTTATGTGTAAAAGGTGTAACTTTGAGCTGCTTGAGGCTTTCATTCTTGTTTATATTATACAAGCATCATAATTCTAGGAAGCAATCACTTAAGACTACTTTTTCCAATGTATCATAATGTACACACTGTAAATTAACTGTTGTAGAAAATGCCATTATTATGTCATTGTAACTCATCAGTTTTTTTCACCTGAATTGGGCTTTATCAAATATTTGTGACAGCTTCATTGTTGCCCAGTTGGGTTTCTGTGCCTCGTTCATTTCTAAGACAGAAATTATCTGATTTAGATCTCAGAGATATAACTGCTCCATTTTTAAAGAGATTTTTAAAGTTGCCTGACTAGTTTAAAGATGACATTATATTATTTATTTGTATTCTTTATTAGTTAGACATTACCAGAGGTTAATATATAATAATAATGTCATCTCATCTCATTTAAAAATGACACATTCACTCCAAAGGGGGCAAACTTCATAATGTCTTAAATATATTTAATTCAATTAATTTTAGACACTCAAACAATTTTTACAAAACTATGGTGATAATGACTAAAAGATGCTCATTGTCATGACGTTCCAGGCGTGAGAAATTACTGTGACAAGCCCAAGGGGGAACTGCAGTTAAGAGCAGCGTGACATTTTGCGGGAAAGTTGTGGGCTCTGATTGGTGTCCACTGGTATGCAGTATCAAATTATGTGTTTTTGCGCAAGTTCCTGTAAATGATGGCAGCTCCACCAGTATGAGTGTGCATGCTGCAGCTGACCCTGAGATCGTCAGATGAAAGCTGTCTCTGCAGCATGGGGGAACACCCTCAACTTAATTTGTCCAAATACTGAGTGCCAAAAATAACAGAATGATCTAAGAGGGTTCTCCATTTTTATTCTGTATATTGGTTCATTCTCTCATTTCAACCCATTTGGATTTCTTTTTCTTTCTTTTTTGCAGTACAGAAATTAGTAAAAGGATAATGATAAAATGTACACCATAAATCTAAAGTGGAAAACACTGGATTGGTAATGGCAACCACAAGCCACACCAACAAAAGAGTGAAAACAAACTTGTTTTATTGTGTTTATTGTGTTAATGATAAATTGTCATAACCCTTATAGTACTCATTTCCTCTTATCTACCACAGCATTGACAATATTTAAATCTTGACATGTAATCTTGTATTTATTATGAAGTATTAAGTCATATAACCACCATGGTGGTTTCACATGTTTTCACATGGAGGAGCTTCTGCAGTTTGAGATTCAACCCATCCTCCTGTAAATCACAGCTTCCTCTGAGACAACATGAGCTTCTCAGATAGAACGAGACCAAAAAGAGTCTGGTGCTGGAGGTGGTCTCTTCTCCTTCCGATTTGTAACAGATCTAACGTGCACCCCAACATGTGTGCCAGCTGTTCCTCTTTCCTGAAGTCAGGGAGGGAGGCCCAGACAGGGCGGGGGAGGACAGGCTAATTGAAAACAGACATGAGAGGAAGTGATGTTTGGCTTCGTCAGACTTTTGGTTTGCTCCTAAAAAAAATTATTTTTCCATTTCGCTCTATTCCCTGACTCATTAAGGCTCTGTAACTGTAGTGTTTTGTAGTAAATCACATCAGAGCTTTAAGATGCACATTGTCTGCTTTACAGCCTGGACAGAATATCCATGATGATCCAGATGTGTTGCTATTAGAGACCAAACACTGGGTATCAGTGTGAGATATGATGAGTAATGTCGAAACTGCTCTTGAGGAAATCAAGACACCTTTACTCATGTGAAAGAATATATTTGTCTGCCAAACTACAGTTTTTAACCACCATCATAAGCTTTGACTCACTGCCTATCTGACAGACAGTCAGACAGTTAGTGTCTTGTGTGTTGTATGAGAAGTGTTTCCTCATGATGCCATTGGTCTTGTGGTGATCTGGTCAAGGTCTACTGTAAAAAACACATAAAACATGGCAGAGTTCATGGAAGGAGACCTGTGCTGGCTGTAGATAAAAACAGCTCATTCTAAGGTAACGAAAAACACAACAATTTATTGTATTTTCAGATTATTGTATATATTATTGTATACTAATGAAAATCATACTTGTGAATATTATATTCCATTTCTGCCAGTAGAATCTCCTTATTGTTGCACACTGGACCTTTAAGAAAAGTATTTAGTATTCTTGCCTTATACAAAAAGGTCAAGTCCTATTTGGCTTATGGTTGTGCTCACTCTTTTGATAAAACATTTTTTTTACACAAATCAGCTTATGTTTTACATAATAAATGTACAATTTCAGCTGTAAAGTCTACTCCACCTCCAGAGGATCGGCTGTCATCAGTATCCACACAGAGTGAATATGACTAAAACTGCTGGGCCTGATAACATCACTGGTACTAAAAACATGTGCCAATCATCTCGTTAATGTCATTACTGACCTTTTTAACATATAACTGTCACAGGAGAGTGTTCCCACT